TGGTTGAAGAATTAAAACTAAAACCAGAGAAGTACTATGTCTTGCCCAACCAAGGGAGAAGGGAATTTCAAGAAATAAAGTTAATCAACATTGCCAGATTCAAAAAGTGAGGGAGAGAAAAGAGATGAGGACAATAGAGGCTTCTAGCTTCAGAAACTAACTGGAGGCTGACCAATATCCTCCTTATGATTAAATCTAAAGGTCTTTGCTATCAGTGGTGGAGGAGATGTAGAGGGGTTAATAAAATCTCTAAAGGAAATTGCACCAATTTTCAGAAGGTAGACTCTGAAAACCAGGTCTCCTGTGACTCCCTTTGGGACATCTGGCTTACATCCTGACTCAGCTGCCCTATGTGGAGAGGTAGTAAAGGATTAACAAACAAACACACTCAACTTTTAGATGCAATAATAAGAGCAATTTCTTACTTCTTTTTGGCTTCAGTGTATTTTATTAGCATGCATTATTATTCCCCCATTTATAATAGAAAATTGAAGCTCAGTAGGGGTTAAAAGTACTTTCCAAGTCACACTGTCCCCTAATGCAGTATCCCTGAAAAGATTTCTGTTGAAAACACCCCCACGTTTGATCTCTGCATTATCCTTCTAATCTTGTATTCCTTAAAGGGCCAAACTACCAGCCTTTCCCCCAAGGTGCCCTGGATGCTCCACTGACCTGCAGGTAGCCGAGGAAGAAGACTCTGTCATCCTGCCTTGGGTAGTTTGTAAATGAGGAAAACTGCTTTGTTCTGTAATAGGCTTAGTTCCTCCCCAGATAAGAGTTTACCAGAACACCCTGAAGCTGGCTCCACCAAAAAGTCCCTGAATTCCAGCCATGTGGTTGGCTGTTCAGGGACGGCCAAATAGAAATGGACGGGCAGAGACTCCCTACTGGCTCAGTGAATGATTAACAGCATAAGTAAAGCAACAGTGTTTATCTAATCACCTTCCTTTTCACTAGCCCTCTTTCTTGATAACATGTCACAATGTTTACTTTCTCCTCTGCCAACTATTTCCCCTAAGTGGAAAGGTAATATAAATTTGATGCCAGAATTCTTTTTTTTCTTTTTATAAACAAAAGAGGGTTATACAAGATGCAAACCAGCTAGCCTGGAAACCTTAGGTACTGCAGGGTTCAGATTAGGTCCACAAAAATGATCCACTTTCTGTGATTCTAGATCCAGCAGGGTTTCCTTGGGTTCAGGGACAGATGACCTTCCCCTGAACTGGTCTCCATCCCACTCCAAGAAAGTACAGAGGATGAAGAGTTCCGGCAATATGCTGAGTTGCGTGGCACATGATCAGTACTCCAGAAATACATGACCTCCAGAAGTTGGTCTATCACTGAGTGCTGCTCAGAAGGATGCAACAAATGGCCAGCCATGTTTGTTATCACATGTGGTCCTAAGAAGGACCACAAACCCTGACATTATCCAATTAAGCTCTTAATCCTCAGGATTAAGGTTTGTGTGCTCAGGGGACTGCTACTAAAGAGCAATTCTTCCTGACCACTTCACCTTTTCTGTAATAAACGCCAAAAGTCCTATAAAGTTTTCAGAAAAGGAGTTGAACCGCAGCAGAAGTTTTGACAAAAGATAGGAGATTTGAGCAGGGCTTTGAATGAAAAGTGGAAATTATTAGATGAAAATAAGAAAGATACTAGAGGTAAAGAGAACATAGACCAGGAATTCCCTGGTGGTCCAGAGGTTAGGACTCGGTGCTTTCACTGCTGGGCCCAGGTTTGAGCTCTGGTCAGAGAACTAAGACCCTGCAAGCCATGTGGCGGGGCCAAAAAAAAAAAAGAGAGAGAAGCGTTTAAGCATGGACCAAGTCACAAAGGTGAGGCTGATTTGCTGATTTTTGATTTGACAAGAATGAGTACAAAAGAGGATACAAAACTATGCAGTCTTGAGAACGAAGTTGGAGGAAATATAACCTTGAAAGCTGGGTCTTCAAATACCATTTCTCAATCAGCTGGAATCCTTTTCTTTACTTGCCATAGTGACTGTTCCAAATTTTTCTCTCCAGGTCACCAAATTGTCTTACTCTCAGCAGATGATCGTGCCTCCTACTTTACTAAGAAATCATTCCACGTTAGCTTCTATCTGCCTCAGATTGTCTTCCCTATTCACTCCTGTTTCAGAAGAGGTTTCTTTTCTTTCCTTCCTTATTTTCAATGTATCTTCCATCCTGAAATGTTCCCTCAGTCTTGCCAAAACCTCAAATTCAAGTTTTCTTCTGTTGTGAGATGTTGAACTTCTCAAAAGAATCTCCTATGTTTCCTGCCTACTTTTTCTCTATAATCACTCCCCACCCCTCCCATTGTGGTCTTCAATCTGGCTTCCTCCCACCTTTACTGACACACCTCTGTGAGGTGCGCCCTTGTCTCCAAATCCAAAATTTCTTTAACTCATCACTTACGACTTCTCGGCAGCCTCTAATGCTGCAGATCATCTCTTTTCTGAAACTCTTTTCTCCTTTGGCTTCCATTACCCTAAACATTCCTGATTTTCCTATCTTACTAACTGCTCTTTCTTCATTGTTATTACCTGTCTTCCTACTTTTCAACCCTAAATATAGATAAACCCCAAGTTCTTCCTTTTAAAAATGTTTCTCTTTACATCTATCTTACCTGTTCTCATGGCTTTAACTATTCCCTATAAGAGGGCTACCCCATAACTACATCTTTATCTCTCATTACTCTCCTAAACTCAGGCTTACATTTTTCATTGCACCTTTATACTCAACAAAGGAGAACTTCTCATTTCCTGCCCAGAAACTTTACCTTCTGACCCCAAGATTAATCCAGGCTTCCTGGAATGGAATTTCAGCCTCACCTTTAAACACTTCATCTCCCTCATCCTCCAACGTTTAATCACTTAACAAGTTGTTTTGATCTTGCAATGTCTCTCAAATCTGCTGTCTCTTTTCTATTTCTAATGTCATCAAACCAGTTCAGGTCATCATTGTCTCTCAGGTGGATCTGTTGCTATAGACCTTTCATTGGTTTCTCTGTCTCAGTTCTTTTCCTACTACACCTGTCCTACATCCTGTTGTGAGAGAAATCTATGTTCTGTCCTTATCACTTCCTTGCTTGAAAGTTTTCCATCTCTACTCACTGCCTACAAAATAAGGCTTAAATTCTCTAACTTGCCCTTTAAAAGCCCTTATAAACTGGCGCTTTTTTTTAACATCTTTATTGGAGTATAATTGTTTTACAATGGTGTGTTAGTTTCTGCTTTATAACAAAGTGAATCAGTTATACATATACATATGTTCCCATATCTCTTCCCTCTTGCGTTTCCCTCCCTCCCACCCTCCCTATCCCACCCCTCTAGGTGGTCACAAACCCCCGAGCTGATCTGCCTGTGCTATGCGGCTGCTTCCCACTAGCTATCTATTTTACGTTTGGTAGTGTATATATGTCCATGCCACTCTATCACTATGAATGAAATTTTGGTCAATTTAGATTAATCGTAGGAATAGGAGTAACCATTTACTTGGTTAAAAAGCTTATGACTCTCATTTGCAACAATGTGGTTGGACCTATAGGGTATTATGCTTAGTGAAATAAGTCAGGCAGAGAAAGAAAAATACTCTATGTTATCCCTTGTATGTGGAACCTAAAAAAATAAAATAAATGAATGAATATAACAAAACAGAAACAAACTCACAGATATAGAGAACAAACTAGTGGCTACCAGTGGGGAGACGGAAGCAGGAAGAGGCAAGATAGGGGTAGTAGATTAAGAAGTACAAAATACTATGTATAAAATAGTTAAGCAATAAGGATATATTGTACAGAGCATGGAAATATAGCCATTATTTTTTTGTAACTTTAAATGGAATATAATCTATTAACAATTGAATCACCATGTTGTACACCTGAAATTAATATAATATTGTGAATCAACTCTACTTCAATTAAAAAAAAAAAGCTTATAACTCTTTACTACATTTTTCAAATCTTCTTTCCACTTGGAACAGCCTTCTCCCTAATCTTTGTCTCTAAATCGTAATCACTTTCAAGGGCCCAAAAAACCGTGCTGGTTGGGCTTCCCTGGTGGCGCAGTGGTTGAGAGTCCGCCTGTCGATGTAGGGGACACAGGTTCGTGCCCTGGTTCGGGAGGATCCCACATGCCGTGGAGTGGCAGGGCCCGTGAGACATGGCCGCTGAGCCTGCGCTTCCGGAGCCTGTGCCCCGCAACGGGAGAGGCCGCAGCAGTGAGAGGCCCGCGTACCGCAAAAAAAAAAAAGAAAAAGAAAAAGAAAATATATTCATATGTGTTGCAACATCTCAAACTGAAAAAAAAGAATAAGAAAATATATTCATATGTGTTGCAACATCTCAAATTTAGGGCTAAGTTTCATCCAAAAGGCAGTGAGCAATATTACCAGAGAAGATTTGGAAACCTGGTTTTATAAACAGGATGTCTGGGAGATCCAGATGAGAGTTTGGGTTCTAACTCTACTTTTGTCTCCATAAGTCATTTTAAGGATACAGCTGTTCTGAGCCTATTTTCCCAAAATGAGACATTAATTTTTGCCTCAAAAGTTTTGGTTAATTGGGGGTTAATTTTTGTTAATAATTTGCAGCTCATATTAAAAAATGAAACAGTAATTCCCTGGCAGTCCAGTGGTTAGTACTCCACGCTTTCACTGTCGAGGGCCCAGGTTCAATCCCTGATTGGGGAACTAAGATTCCCCCAACCCATGCAGCACCACCAAAAAACGAAAAGAGAAAAAAAATAAGGAATGTACCTTAGCTGTGATCTGAGCTTCCCATTCTCTTTCAGACAGGAAATTAAACCTTTCCCTCCCCATTAATGCATTTCTAATTCTGGTCTTAGACAATCACCACACTTGGTCATTCTACATCCAACACACGCGCACACACACACACACACACACACACACACACACACCCCATGCGTCATGCAACTGCAGCTGGTTACTGTGAAGTTGCATTTTGGCCCAAAGAAAGAAAAATCTGAAACCAATTTCAGAGCCAAGAGGAAATTTTATTCATAGTATTTCTATTACCCAGTCTGCTCAGACAATGTCAGGGCAACATTTTTGTCTTCAACTCAGCTTTCCTTATTTCCAGAGAACATTTTACTTTCTCCATCATTAAGCCACTTTTCTTTAATCTTTGTGTAAAGTTCTCTATGGCTTTGCATAGTTCCTTACTCTCCTGAAAGGCAAGCTGAAGAAAGAACATTTTTTGAAGTTAACAGTTTAAGAACTGAGACTCAGCTCTACACTCGGAAGCTAATGAGTAGTGTTTAGGTGCCCAAATGGGGGCTCAGAACAACACTAGCTTCAGTATGGATCTGGGTCTTCAACATGATGAATCATTTAAATTTGCAGGATGGCTGGGGGCTGCCTAGGGCCCCTTTCAGGATGCTGCCAAGTGTCCCTCTCTTCCTCCTGGGGTACAGAGATATATATAAAATCTTGCAACTTGGTGTGTCTTGGGGGAAGTTATCACTGCCTGCCCCTGGGGTACTTTTTTATTTTCTGAAAATAAAATTTAGTGGCTTAAATCTACTTGTCATCTCAGTAATAAATATAGACTAAGAGAGGAGTCTCAGTGAAAATGGATCTGTTCAGCATTTTTGTGATTTTTTTTTGAAGTCTAGAAGAATTTTAGACTTTTTGCAGCAATACTTCCAAGTCTAAGACATAAGTTTATGTACCTTGCTCTTTATTTACTTTATTTATTTATTTATTTTTTGCGGTACGCGGGCCTCTCACCGTTGTGGCCTCTCCCGTTGCGGAGCACAGCCTCCAGACATGCAGGCTCAGCGGCCATGGCTCACGGCCCCAGCCGCTCCACGGCATGTGGGATCTTCCCAGACCGGGGCATGAACCCGTGTCCCCTGCATCGGCAGGCGGACTCAACCACTGAGCCACCAGGGAAGCCCTACCTTGCTCTTTAAAGCACATGAGACAACAACCCCTACCAAAAGGGCCTCATGAGGTATTAACGATGGCGGAGAATGGGAATTCATATACAAAAACATGAGTCACTAGTTTATAGGCCCCACTCTACAATCAGGCCAAGACCAATCCATTCAAAGACATTCCAAATTGAACAGCTATTTACTGAGCATATGCCAAGAGCGACACCAGGCCCTGGAGGCACAGCTGTGAATAAGACAGAAAAGAGCCCACTCTTACCAGTGCTTTCTCCAACTCCAACTCAGTTGGTTTGGGAGCTTCTTGGATCAATTCACAGACCGGAAGGGTACTGCTCCACTCCCCATCAATGCACTGTTGCTGCTGTGTGCCCACCAGGTAGTACCTGGACGCAAGTAAGAATGGCAACAACGTTTACACTTCCACTTCTTGAACTGGGCAACTAAAGCTGGTTTTCTGTAACAGTATTTCAGTATTTCACACTGTAATAGAATCTACTTTTCTGCCCCAGAGCCCTAATGCATGCTTAAGTTATCTCAATATTACAAAGCAGTCATAAAGTAAAACCATTCTCCTGGGGGTGGAGAGGACCCAAGTGATGAGTCAGACTGTAAGACACGGAGGAGTGAAAAATTCTAAATATGTGTTTTTACACACACAGTTTTTGGGTGGGAAGGGTGAAGGAGGAACCTCTTCATTTTTCAGTACTTTAAAAAGGCATCTTTCGGGCTTCCCTGGTGGTGCAGTGGTTGAGAGTCCGCCTGCTGATGCAGGGGACATGGGTTCGTGCCCTGGTCCAGGAAGATCCCACATGCCGCTGAGCGGCTGGGCCCATGGGCCATGCCGCTGAGCCTGCGCGTCCAGAGCCTGTGCTCCGCAGTGGGAGAGGCCACAACAGTGAGAGGCCTGCGTACCACTAAAAACCCAAAAAAAAAAAAAAAAAAAAAAAAAAAAGCATCTGTCATCTGTGCTCTAAAAAGGAGTAGAAAGCTAGAGACAGCCTTCAAACAAATCTTGGGGAACTGCTTAAAAGGAGCCTCAGCTCTTAATCAGAAAAACATGAGAGTTGATGGCAAAATGCATTGGAGGTAAATAATGAGATTGAAATGCCAGTGAGATCACATGACTCTGAGTTAATAAGATTGAGGCCAGGAAAAGAAAAGGTTAGGAGATCTGTAAGCAGGTGACCAGGCAGTCTAAGTTAAGGTTAGACTTTAATTACTATGTCCTAAGAATCTCTATTCTAAATAATTCTATTTCTGTACTTCCATATATTCTGTGGGGTTTTTTTGAGTTTTTTGTTCTGAGACTGTTTAGAAAAACATATTTTTTGGGGGGGGTGGCTGCGTTGGGTCTTTTGCTGTGCGCGGGCTTTCTCTGGTTGCGGCGAGTGGGGGCTACTCTTCGTTGCGGTGTGCAGGCTTCTCATTGCAGTGGCTTCTCTTGTTGCAGAGCACAGGCTCTAGGTGCGCGGGCTTTGGTAGTTGTGGCACATGGGCTCAGTAGTTGTGGCACACAAGTTCTAGAGCACAGGCTCAGTAGTTGTAGTGCACAGGCTTAGTTGCTCCGCGGCATGTGGGATCTTCCTGGGCCAGGGCTCGAACCCGTGTCCCCTTTATTGGCAGGTGGATTCTTAACCACTGCACCACCAGGGAAGCCCCAGAAAAACATACATTTTAAATATTTTATCTTGTCTTAGCTAAGAGAAAAAAGAGTGATACTTCTATTAGGATAAATAGGAGGATCAGTCTGTCTTCTAGGGCTTGGGGAGAGTTGGCAGTAGGCTAAAGCAGCTCTCAAAATCAGAATGTGTAGGAGTTCCCTGGTGTCACAGTAGTTAAGAATCCATCTGCCAATGCAGGGGACACAGGTTCGAGCCCTGGCCCGAGAAGATCCCACATGCTGCAGAGCAACGAAGCCCATGTGCCACAACTACTGTGCCTGCGCTCTAGAGCCTGCGAGCCACAACTACTGAGCCCACGTGCCACAATTACTGAAGCCCGCGGGCCTAGAGCCTGGGCTCAGCAAAAAGAGAAGCCGCCGCAATGAGAAGCCCATGCACTGCAATAAAGAGTAGCCCCCACTCTCTGCAACTAGAGAAAGCCCACGCACAGCAACAAAGACGCAACGCAGTCAAAAATAAATTAATTTTTTTTAAAGTTTAAAAATCAATTAAAAAAATATATCAGAATGTGGTAGGTAATCAGGGGACTAGATTGAGACAGACTGGGTCTTTTCCAAAACAAGGCTACTAGTCAATGGGCAAGGTCTCATATTTAAAAGGCTGCAATAGGGCTTCCCTGGTGGCGCAGTGCTTGAGAGTCCGCCTGCCGATGCAGGAGACGCGGGTTCGTGCCCCGTTTCGGGAGGATCCCACGTGCCGCGGAGCGGCTGGGCCCGTGAGCCATGGCCGCTGGGCCTGCGCGTCCGGAGCCTGTGCTCCGCAAATGGGAGAGGCCACAGCAGTGAGAGGCCCGCATAACGCAAGAAAAAAAAAAAAAAAAAAAAAGGCTGCAATACACTTACCTCGCTTCACAGTAATAAGTAATGGTAGATCCCAAGTTGAAATCTATTCCTTCAAAATAGCCATGAGTTGGTTTCTCAGGAGGGCCACAGTCTCCTGAGAGACAGGAGTATAAGAATGACAGCTGTGAAGTCCAGTAATGCTCAATTAACAATGCCAGGCCCCTAAGTGCAACTGTGTAGTCCAGCACCTGCCACCTTCACAAGCCCATGTGGGATCTGGGACATGTTCTCCATTCATTTCCTTCTGGTCAAATCATATTTATCCATGAGAAAGACTCCCTCCCCTGGCTCATTCTCTGAGTCATTAGTGATGTGAGAGTACTTTGTGATTGGCAGGAACTTGAGGAAAGGAAGGTTAAGTTGTAGAGATGCTAACTGTCAGTGTACAAGAAGGGAAAAATTAGGCTATAGGTAGAGATGGAAGAAGTAACTCCTGAAACAGTAAATAGTGTGAGCTCATATGGAGGTTGACTACCCCTGTGTGACAGTTGTACCATATGAGAGATTCAGCAAAAAATGGAGAACAGAGCTGCGAGGAAAAAGGATGAGTCTGTAAAATTATGGAAAGAGAGTCGGACAAGGTACTAGATGTTGTGAGTTTTGGTTTTGGCTCTTCCACTGAACACACCGCATGAAAGAAGCCATTTTACCTTTCTCAGCTTCCTTCTTTTTAAATTAATTAATCAATTATTATTATTATTTTGGCTGCATTGGGTCTTCGCTGCTGCACGGAGGCTTTTTCTAGTTGTGGCGAGCGGGGGCTACTCTTCACTGCAGTGCGCAGGCTTCTCATTGCAGTGGCTTCTGTTGTGGTGGAGCACAGGCTCTAGGCCCGCGGGCTTCAGTTGTTGTAGCATATGGGCTCAATAGTTGTGGCTCTCGGGCTTTAGAGTGCAGGTTCCGTTGTTGTGGCACATGGGCTTAGTTGCTCCGCGGCATGTGGGATCTTCCTGGACCAGGGCTCAAACCCATGTCCCCTGCACTGGCGGGTGGATTCTTAACCACTGTGCCACCAGGGAAGTCCTCAGCTTCCTTCTTAATCTATAAGATGAGCAGGCTAAACAATATTATCCATAAGGTCCATTTCAGCTCTGAGGTTATATGAGTTTAAACTTGTTGATCAAGATTAACAGCTGGGCGTCCCTGGTGGCGCAGTGGTTGAAAGTCCGCCTGCCGATGCAGGATACATGGGTTCGTGCCCCGGTTCGGGAAGATCCCACATGCCGCGGAGCGGCTGGGCCCGTGAGCCATGGCCGCTGAGCCTGCGCGTCCGGAACCTGTGCTCCGCAACGGGAAAGGCCACGACAGTGAGAGGCCCGCGTAACCGCAAAAAAAAAAAAAAAAAAGATTAGCAGCTAAATTAAGAATAATTATGTATTTACTGAAACACAAAGTGTTCAAAACAGAAAACTAAAACAGCAAAGCATAAAAGAGCATGTATAATATAATACTACTTTTGTAAAACACAGGCACATACCAACATATATGAACAGAAAAAAAAAGTCTGAAAATTATATGCCAAAGTACTCTGTTATCTCTGGGTGGTAGGTTTGTAGGTAATTAAATGTTTTCTTCTTTTATTTTCTGTATTTTTCCACAACAGAGATGTATTACTTGAGCAGTTAATAAATAATTTTTAAAAGATCAAAACCTGAGTTCAAAAGTTGTGTGGAAGAAAGGAAAAAGAATTTCAATGAGTTGATTAAGCAACTCCAGTGTCCCAAATGGACACCTCACCAAAGATATACAGATGACATATGAAAAGATACTCTACATCATATGTCATCAGCAAAATGCAAATTAAAACAACAGTGAGTTACTATTACACATCTATTAGAACGGTCAGTCTCTGGAACACTGACAACACCAAATGCTGGGAAGGTTTTGGAACAACAGTATTCATACATTGTTGATGGGAATTCAAAATGGTAGAGCCCCTTTGGAAGACAGTTTGGTGGTTTCTCACAAAACTAAATATACTCTGACCACATGATCTAACTCCCAAAGAAGGTGAAAACTTACATCATAGAAAAAAAACCTTCACATGGACATTTTTAGCAGTTTTATTCATAATTGTCAAAACTTGGAAGCAACCCAAGATATCCTTCAGAAAGTGAATGGATAAGTAAACTGTGGTACATCCAGAAATGAAACATTATTCAGCACTAAAAAGAAATGAGCTATCAAGCCATGAAAAGACATGGAGAAACCGTAAATGCATGTTACTAAGTGAAAGTAGACAAACTGAAAAGGCCACACAATGTATGATTCTAATTGTATGACATTCTGGAAAAGGCAAAACTATGGAAACAATAAAAAGATCAGTGGTTGAGAGGGGTGGGGGAAGTAAAGTGATAAATAAGCAGAGCACAGAGGATTTTTAGGGTGGTGAGAATACTCTCTATGAGATTATAACGATGTACATATGTCATTATACATTGGTCCAAATCCTTTGAATGTACACCACCAAGAGTGAACTCTTAGGTAAACTATGGACTTTGAGTGATAATGATGTGTCAATGTAAGTCTATCAATTGTAACAAATGTACCACTCTTGTGAGTGACGTTGATAATGGGGGGGGCAGGGGGGAGGCTGTGCATATGTGGGAACAGGGGCAATAGGGGGAATCTCTGTATCTTCCTCTCAATTTTATTAGAAACCTAAAACTGCTCTAAAAAAATAAAGTATTGAAATAAATAAATTTGCAATGTTAGATGTGTATCATTCCAAATGAGATTTTAAAATTAATTTTTTGTTTCCTATTTTTTAATTTAAAATTCTGGTTAGGAGTGCATTGTAATACCAAGTCTGCCCATCCAGGATCTTTTCTTTTAGTCATGTCTTATTTTATGTCCTTTGGTAAATTTTCCTATAGGTGTCATGAATGGAATTATTTTTACATTTCAATATCCATCTGATAACTCTTACTAGAAAGTGAAAACTGTTGATTTTTCAAAATTTATTTTGTATCCAAGAATGAAGTTTTTAGTAGAATTTCTTGGATTTTTCAGGTATATTTTGCAAATAATGATATCCTATGACTCACCAATCATTCTAGGACTCTATCCTATAGAAATAGTAGCATAGACATAAAGATGTATGTGTATAGACATATATATACAATAACATTCATTTCATCATTGTTTGTAATAGCAAAAATATGGAAGTATAATAAATGTTCATCAATATGAGAGATATGGAATAAATCATGGCATATCCACATGTAGTTAAAAAGCAGGAGGTAGAGCTATACATACCGATCTGAAAAAGATTCCCATGTATATTGTTATATGAAAAAAGAAGCTATTTAAAAAATATGTATAGCAAAGTCTCATCTTTGTAGGTATATATGTGTATTGGTATGTGTGTGTGTGCATTTATTTAAAATATCTGTGTAAACATAAGAAAAAGTCATTAAACACATCCAACTAATTACCTCTGAGAGCTATGAACTATAGTGATAAAAGGAGGTATTTTCAACTCTTATTCTATGTAATTTTGCAATGATGAGTTATGGTCTTTTTTCCCCCCTGTTTTTGTTTATCTTTCAAAAAAAAATTATCAATCTTGAAATTTTAAAAAAATATAGTCGGATGTCCCAAACTACCCTGTGTATCATTCCAAATGAGATTTTAAAATTAATTTTTTGTTTCCTATTTTTTAATTTAAAATTCTGGTTAGGAGTGCATTGTAATACCAAGTCTGCCCATCCAGGATCTTTTCTTTTAGTCATGTCTTATTTTATGTCCTTTGGTAAATTTTCCTATAGGTGTCATGAATGGAATTATTTTTACATTTCAATATCCATCTGATAACTCTTACTAGAAAGTGAAAACTGTTGATTTTTCAAAATTTATTTTGTATCCAAGAATGAAGTTTTTAGTAGAATTTCTTGGATTTTTCAGGTATATTTTGCAAATAATGATATCCTATGACTCACCAATCATTCTAGGACTCTATCCTATAGAAATAGTAGCATAGACATAAAGATGTATGTGTATAGACATATATATACAATAACATTCATTTCATCATTGTTTGTAATAGCAAAAATATGGAAGTATAATAAATGTTCATCAATATGAGAGATATGGAATAAATCATGGCATATCCACATGTAGTTAAAAAGCAGGAGGTAGAGCTATACATACCGATCTGAAAAAGATTCCCATGTATATTGTTATATGAAAAAAGAAGCTATTTAAAAAATATGTATAGCAAAGTCTCATCTTTGTAGGTATATATGTGTATTGGTATGTGTGTGTGTGCATTTATTTAAAATATCTGTGTAAACATAAGAAAAAGTCATTAAACACATCCAACTAATTACCTCTGAGAGCTATGAACTATAGTGATAAAAGGAGGTATTTTCAACTCTTATTCTATGTAATTTTGCAATGATGAGTTATGGTCTTTTTTCCCCCCTGTTTTTGTTTATCTTTCAAAAAAAAATTATCAATCTTGAAATTTTAAAAAAATATAGTCGGATGTCCCAAACTCCCCTGTGTTAGATCTAGTAGTACAGGAATCCTACCTGGGTGGGGAGGCGGGGGGGTGGGGGCGGGTGTTGTTTATTGTTTGGGTGCTGATCATTTCATTAGAATGCATTGCTTGTGTTGAGCTTGCCTCTTTCTTGGCTGCCTGCTAGATCCTAAACCCTTCCCAGATACAAAAAAGAGGACAGCGGGCATGTGGTGAATGGCTAGACTTTCACTGCCGATCAGTATCTTTGGGATTTGCACTTTTTTTCTCTTATACTTACTGCTTTTGCAGACAGGAAAGGGAGGCACCCAGGTGTGGTTCTCTAGGCACCGGCTCCAATTGCTGCCCTTGAGGATGTAATGCTCATTGCACTTAAACGTGACAGTGTCATTCACATTCACAGGCTCCAAGGAACTAAACTCACCATTCACCAGCAAAGGGTCAGGACAGTGGCCCACTGAAGAAGAAAACAGGCAGAGATATGAAAGGGCTAAGCAGAAACCTACCACAGCAAAGGCTAGACCTCCTCAGGCTTCATCAAGAAAATTGAAAATGAGAAGTAAAAATGCACCTTTTAATGTGGACTGGTACATGGTACGAAACCATATCAATGCAGAATGAGAAAAGACTGGGTTGCCCTTAACTGTGGTAGAAAATGTCTTGATCATGCACAAGAGTGACAACTGACATTTGAACTTACTAAAGTTAAGCATGTAATTGGAAATTACCAATAGCATGTTCATCATTCTCTTATGTTAAGCATTGCTCAAAATTCTTGAGCCCATGTTTGAGGCAAATGTTTCCTTCCCTTTCATCCTGTCAAATACACACATTAGTCATCATTTTTTACTTTGTTTTCTTTTGTTCTGCCCAGGTGGAAAAACAGGAGAATACAAAGGGATGTGAATTTGGTTGTATGAATAAAGGATAAATATACAGGTGTGCTTTAGGTATAAAGGAGAACTTTACACTCTAGGTTTAAAGGAGAACTAATCCAGCTATTCCTAAAAACAGTATTAATAAAGAGAATGTGGACTAATTATTCTCCATCTCTACAGACACCACAAATGAGTTTTATGAACCTGAACAAATCACTTAGATTTCAGTTATCACATTTGTAAATTGAGAACATAAATTTTCCCATTTCAAAAATTATATGATGGGGCTTCCCTGGTGGTGCAGTGGTTAGGAATCCACCTGCCAATGCAGGGGACACGGGTTCGAGCCCTGGTCCAGGAAGATCCCACGTGCTGCGGAGCAACTTAGCCCATGCGCCACAAGTACTGAGCCTGTGCTCCAGAGCCCGCGAGCCACAATTACTGAGCCCACATGCCACAACTACTGAGCCCACATGCCACAACTACTGAAGCCCGTGCGCCTAGAGCCTGTGCTCCACAACAGAAGCCTGCACACCACAACGAAGAGCAGCCCCCACTCACCACAACTAGAGAAAGCCCGCGTGCAGCAACGAAGACCCAACGCAGCCAAAAATAAAGTAAATAAAATAAATTTATAAAAAAAAAAAATTAGGGGGCTTCCCTGGTGGCGCAGTGGTTGAGAGTCCGCCTGCCAATGCAGGGGACACACGTTCGCGCCCCAGTCTGGGATGATCCCACATGCCGCAGAGCGGCTGGGCCCATGAGCCATGGCTGCTGAGCCTTTGCGTCCGGAGCCTGTGCTCCGCAACAGGAGAGGTCACAACAGTGAGAGGCCTGTGTACCGCAGAAAAAAAAAAGAAAAAAAAACATTATATGATGGATGAAATGAAATGATAAGATATATTTACTTCAAAATAATAATAATGCAAAGCAGAACTGTAGATTTAAAAAGTCGTGCTGATCATACATATGAATTCATTTTACACTTCTGTCTTGTATATGTTTAAAATTTTTCATAACTTAAAAATTTTAAAGCAGTATGATATTAAACAAATTACAGCCCCCCCAAAAAAGTAGTTTTAATATGTGTAAGAAATCCTTTCCTTCTTGTAGGGATGATTGCGTCTACTAATTCAACTAAATTAATACTAAGAGCTGATTATGTACCTACTAAGAGAAGTTCCACAACTAGAGTGCTTTAAAAATGTATTACTAGAAGTTGAGAATTTTTTTTCTTATAAAGTCTTACCATGGCCTACTGGAGGTATGATATGAAAGAATACAGAGGGATGACAAGGTGAACAAAGTAGCAGAAAGATCAAACTTACAGCGGCACTCAGGAGCAGGGGCATTCCATCCTTTAGATGCATTACAGAAAAGGGTTTTCTCTCCTACCAGGTGGAAGCCATTGTTACATAAGTAAGTCCCCAGAATTTGTCCTTCCCCCTCCTTTGCAACAAATATGCTATTGTCCACTGGGGGAAGTTCTGGACAGATCTCTGTTGGAGGGGAAAAAAAAAAAACAGATTCGTTTGACGTATCACGTGCCCTGAGGAAGCACTTACTAGATTCCTCATCCAAGTGTCTTTTGGCTTGATTATTAACTCTGATTCCTTGTACTCTTCCATGTCCATGTACATCCACATCCCTTCCTGCCCAAGGATTCCCAAAGTTTTGTTTTCAAAAGAATAACAGGAGTTTTACTCAAGTTCAGCCATAAGTTATCCACTCCTAAAAAAAACAATCCCCTTTCCAAATAGTGGTCCTGGAGTTTATCATAAATAAGACCTCTCAAGATTTTGAAATTGGTACATTTTTTGTTCCCAGAACAGAAAGGGAAAGTAGCAGACAATGACCCACTTCATAGAGCAAAATCAGTAAATATTTACTATGCCCCTATTGAGTTCAGAGCATTAGGCCAAGTAATTTGAGATTTTTCAATGAAGGAAATATATTTTATAAACTTCAATTTCATTAAAACCCCAGATAGAATGCCTCATAATCCACAAGCTGATATCACATGCCTTACAAACTGAGGTTTAGAAAAGCATACGTACCATCTGAGGCAGAAATCAGCCACATATCCACAAGGCAGCACATAAACCAAAAAAACATCTTGCGATCAAAATTGTTTGACCCGGGTTGGAAATAACCCAGCCTAGGATCCTGGTTTAGATCAAAATAGGTCTTCTCACACCACTTGAGATCAGACCAACCACCTCCTTCCTAGAGAAGGGGTTGTCTTGATTTCTCTTCCCTGGAAGGAAAAAAAATTCTACAACAGGAAATAAGAGTAGCTGTAAGGAAGTTGGTACAAAGAGGGATTTTGCAAAAACCCAAAGGGGTGATAAAAAAGAGTTGCCGGTTTTAAAACTCAGTTTCAGAAATGGCCCAAGTGTTGCTTATGCAAATCCAGTTGACCAGTCCCTTTGAACTGCAGGCTGATCCTTCCCCAACAGATTTGGGCCAAATGGTCTTACCATGACCTTCACATCTGTCGATATTTGCCAGTGTTTACAGTCCACCTTCTGCAACTCTCTCCAGCATTGTGGGTAGAGGCGGGGAGGTGGGGGTGGAGGTGTGCATCCCTTGTGCTTTCCCAAGTAAAACCCAACTCTGGGTGCTACCTCCTCCCCCTTTCTCAAATACCAGGTATCCTAAGACTGTAAGCAGCATTGAAGACTGAAAGCTCGGGCTTCCCTGCTGGCGCAGTGGTTGAGAGTCCGCCTGCTGTTGCGGGGGACGCGGGTTCGTGCCCCGGTCCAGGAAGATCCCACGTGCTGCGGAGCGGTTGCGCCCGTGAGCCATGGCCGCTGAGCCTGCGCGTCCGGAGCCTGTGCTCCGCAGCGGGAGAGGCAACAGCAGGGAGAGGCCCACGTACTGCAAAAAAAAAAAAGACAGAAAGCTCAAGGAAGCCAACTAACCTTACCTGTCTCCAACCTTCCAGACCATATGGCTTCCCAGAAAGGAGCTGGTCCTGATGGATTCCAAACTTGAGAAGGACTCCAAAGTCCTGCAGCAGCACAATGTCCTCATTTGCCAGCTCTGCACCAGGCTTCCATTCCGTGGTCTTCTGGGCAGGATTTGACCTGAGTCCAGAGTCAACCAAATGAGCTAAGAGAGAGTTGAGGGGAATGCTTTGGTCTTGGGAATGAAGCATGTAAAATTGCTTTTGGGTTCCCATAGCTTCTTGTTCATGATGATTATAGCCATTAGCTAGTTTTCTGTGCTCCAATTACAAAACTGGGGTAAAATTCCTAAAAAATCTTAAGTTTAAATAAAATAACAAATATAAAGCATAATATAAATATAAAGGCATAAAAACACGGTAAGGTCTCAAATGTTATTCTCATCCCCACCCATTATCATTACTTTGTTTTTGTTGTTGTTGTTGTTGTTGTTTTGTGGTACATGGGCCTCACTGTTGTGGCCTCTCCCGTTGAGGAGCACAGGCTCCAGACGCGCAGGCTCAGCGGCCATGGCCCACGGGCCCAGTCGCTCTGCGGCATGTGGGATCTTCCCGGACCGGGGCACGAACCCATGTCCCCTGCATCGGCAGGCGGACTCCCAACCACCGCACCACCAGGGAAGCCCCATTATCATTACTTTGTAATGATTTGTTCATGACTTTCTCCCACACTAGACTATGTTAAAAAACAAAATTCAAGATCTAATTGGCTTTATTCAACAATTCATTAATCGGGCAGCATCCCACCTAGTAAATACAAGGGCACTCTGAGGAGTTGTACAAAATGGAGGGTTTTTATAGAAGGAGAGTGGGGCAAGGAAGTTACTAGCAAAAGAAAAGGAAGAATTGTTTCAGGATAGGTCACCTTCTTTGGGGGAAAAAATGAGAGTCTAATCATGCAGATTACCTCATTAGTTCTGACCAGAAAATTCCAGACTGGCCCAATTAAGAATATATTCCTGGGGGCTTCCCTGGTGGCGCAGTGGTTGAGAGTCCGCCTGCCGAAGCAGGGAACACGGGTTCGTGCCCCGGTCTGGGAAGAACCCACATGCTGCGGATTGGCTGGGCCCGTGAGCCATGGCCACTGAGCCTGCGCGTCCGGAGCCTGTGCTCTGCAATGGGAGAGGCCGCAACAGGGAGAGGCCCGCATACCAGAAAAAAAAAAAAAAAGAGTAGATTCCTGGGGAAGGTCAAAATTGCAATTAGGTCAAGTATTAATATTAAATCTAGGTTTGGTATCAGGACTTTAGCACAGATGACGTCATTTGGGACCTGTGGTTCCCTCTTTAACAACTGTCAACAACTCTAGAATAGGGATTGTGCCTCATCTGTGTTTGCATTCCCTTCCTCTGCATTGCATAATGAAAAGTATTGACAGAATCATCTGCTAAATGAATAAAGCAATGCAGAGTAAATGAAAAGAAGAGTCACCCAGAAACTCTACCACAGCCCCTCAAATCCATACTGATAACTTATTATATACTGCTTTTATGGTTTTCCTGTGTCTTTGATCAACTAATATGTGAGCTCCTACAGTGCAAGCATCTTTTAAAGTATAATTTTCAAAAAAGTAATAACATGACATTCATGTAAATATAAAATGAACAAGTGTCAAAGATTTCACTCAACTCATTAATTAATGAGGGAACCATTAAGATGCTACAGTGAATTTAAAGAAGAATTTGAGGAACAGATATATAGTATATAGTCAGTCAAAGGCATTCTAAAATGACTTTTCTACTAGAAGCAAAACTGGTTAATATACAGGGCAACAAACTGTAATACTTGAAATCAGATTTTCTAACTGATGGAAATTAATTGAATCTCTACTGGACAAAATTCTTTTGCTTTGCCCTGATTGGGAATCATTTGCATTGTTCTCAGAAAAGAATCATTTGCATTCCTACCCATTTTCTACAAATTAACCTCTACTCTTATTAGAGAGTTGTAAAAAAGCCTAGTTAATAGAAAGCCAACCAAAATTACACACCCTTATGGAATCAATAATCCCTAGAGAGTGTCTGCTAGAGAATACTCAGTAATTCATAAAAAAAAATGTCTCCAGGGCTTCCCTGGTGGCGCAGTGGTTAAGAATCCGCCTGCCAATGCAGGGGACACGGCTTCGAGCCCTGGTCAGGGAAGATCCCACATGTCGCGGAGCAACTAAGCCTGTGCGCCACAACTACTGAGCCTGCGCTCTAGAGCCCGTGAGCCACAACTACTGAGCCTGCATGCCACAACTACTGAGCCCGCGCACCTAGAGCCCGTGCTCTGCAACAAGAGAAGCCACCACAATGAGAAGCCCGCACACCGCAGCGAAGAGTAGCCCCCACGCGCTGCAACTAGAGAAAGTCTGCATGCAGCAACGAAGACCCAACGCCTCCAAAAAACAAACAAATAAATAAATAAATAAATCTCTTAAAAAAAAAATGTCTCCAGTGATCTCTATTTGCCTAGTTCCAAGTTTTGAGTAATTTTTAACATACCACATAGTCTATTTCTTGAGGAATACATGTTCCTCAGTATCTAGTGTACATAATGTTTGTACAATAAATAATAAAAAATGAAAGAAAATTTTTATTGCTACATAAACATGGGTATAAAATAGAGCATTATTACAGGAAATAATTGCAAATAAGTCTTCGTCTCAATGGCTTATTTTAGATTCAGAATGATTAGGACTTTAGAAAGGTACTATGTTGCTTATAACACTGTCCTCCTAACATTTCTTCGTGAAATGTAAAAATATTTACACTAAGTGGGATATAGAGAGACTATAAATATCCTCACAAAGTTCAGGTCGGGTTTTATGGTCAAATAAATTAAAAGAAAACTTTGTTTTCAAAGCGTATTGAATTTTGTAATTCCATATAAGGGATTACGTGTTTTATTATGGGTGTCCAAGGTTGAATAAGCTAATAAATGAGCATTAAGTGACGCTGCTAGCCTGTTGAACAATTTGATCTAATCCAGATTGTCTCCTGGAGAACTAGGGTAATAAATCAGGTGCAGAAGTCGTACTCAGACTGGTTTGATTACTTTACAAAGGGATGGCGGCCAGTAATTAGCGGAAGAGATCAGAAGGTGAGGGCGGAGGGGTAGAAAAACAAAAGTCCGCAATGCCTAGGCTGGGGGAAGAGTTGTGGGGAGTTAAACAAGGGGAACACACCCTGTGCTGTGTGTGTGTGTGTGTGTGTGATTTTAAGAGACTTGGGAAAAGATTTTTTAAAGTTCTACAGTATGTTACGAATGGATTTCCTTCGGTCTTTGTCAAGACAATTCAGAAAAGATCTAAATTGCTTCTCTGATTATTTTTTATTTACCGAGTTGATGTTTCTTGAATGCCTCACCAAGAAAAACCTGGTCCAGAAAAGTAGCCTTTATTCAGATTACATGAGAATAAAATATATAAATTTTAAAAAGGTCAAACTGTTCATGAAGCATTGTAGAATAAGCCTTGCTTGTGAGTCAAGACAGACACATGCACTACAGCAAGGTCAGACTTGATGAATGACAAGCAGTGTGTCTTTACGTGGTGGCAATATAACTCTTCAAAGACTACTGCTCACCTTGTTATGTCCCTTCAGACTTACTGCAAAGTCCCTATTACCTACTGAAGCAGATTGCTGTTCATTCCCCAAATCCATTCCATTCTTCTTCTTTAGTAATTAAACCACAATTATAGCTGGCACAAGGTCACCTGGAATGTTTTTTTAAAAATACATTTCAGCCTGCCTGCAGTTATACATAGCCATGAGCTATGAGAATAATACTGCGTGCAACATTTAGAAAACACCCTTAAAGGAAGTTGGTGAACCCTTTTTGCTCCCTTTTTACTGACTGGAATGTACACATGATTCCGGTAGCTTGGTATTGTACTATGAGGTAGGATCCAGCACATTGTAGGTGAGAGTAACCTTCTGCATGTGTAAGGTGCTGTTATTTTGTATTTGGTGACACCTTCAGCTGAAACCAACTCTAATCTGAAACACTGATGAATACAAGAAGATAAGGGCCAACTGGTATTTGAGTGAAAGGACCCAGGAATTTAAATTTGGAAAAAACTGTTTAATAGACTTTACTAAATTGTGCCCAGAGGCTGTTTTCCATCCCATGCACAAATTCTAAAAAAGCAACGGGTGAAAGAGAAAACCTATGAAGTGAAAACTGAATGTAAACAATAAGGTAAATGGATCACTAATGAAGAAAACCCAAACGGATAAACAAGCCATTCCCGGAAAGTAGGCTGGATACTTGGTGAAGGGCATTACACTTTTTGAGGTGAGGTCCCATTAGATCTGGAATACTCTTCCCAAGGGCTCCTATGCTTCTGAAATTATTTCACTTAATTGCAAGGAGAAACTCACCTATAGAATCTGATTTCGTTTTCAAATGCGCGGTATCACATATACAACCAAAAAGCATACTTAAATGTCTTTGGGAATTCAGAAGGGAGTTATTCTGCCCCAAATGCAGCTGGCTTAATGAGAATAAAAGAAGAAAGACTTTGTTCCCTTAAGTTTTTAAGAAAACGAAAACATTACTCTCCATGATTAGCAATGCTATCTTATTACAATCTATTCAAATTCTTAACTAATCCACGATGTCCAGTTTAAAAAAAGTGAGCATTTCAAAATCTCATATATTCCCCTTCTCTGCTTAAGAGTTAATATCAAATAGATGTCTTCATTTTTTATGAAATGAAAATTGTGTATGTATAATGTACCAAATATTGTACCAAAATTGTGTATGTATAATGTACCAAATATTACCTTCTTTTGTGTGTGATTTTAAAAATTAGCTGCACTTTTTAATTAAAAATAACTTTTATTACATTTCTTATTACAAAAGCAATACATATTATTCACAAATTTTAGCATGATCTTATTTATCCAGGAGGTAAACTTTTCTCCAGAGAAATGTATCTCTTGGTTTATACTTATAATAAAAATCAATGAAAAAAAAAGTATTCAAAAGAAATCCACTGTGCCTTCACATAGTTATTATCCTTTTACAGAAGACGGACACCTACATTCTGAAATTTTAATTTAAGGTAATACTATGGACTTTAAACTTAAATACTCAAAATACCTAAATTTCTACCAAACACAAACTGCCTTACACTCTGATTAAATACATGCAGATATTAATATGGGGACTTAAAAATACCTTACATGGGCTTCCCTGGTGGCGCAGTGGTTGGGAGTCTGCCTGCCGATGCAGGGGACACGGGTTCGTGCCCCGGTCCGGGAGGATCCCACATGCCGCGGAGCGGCTGGGCCCGTGAGCCATGGCCACTGGGCCTGCGCGTCCGGAGCCTGTGCTCCGCAACGGGAGAGGCCACAGCAGTGAGAGGCCCACGTACCACAAAAAAAAAAAAAAAAAGCCTTACATGGATGAATAAATAACTAAATAAAAACATAAAAACATTTATCAGATCATCAAAAGACAGTGTATTTAGATGCAGAAAGAAACCAGCATCACAAGAACAAAATCATTACAGTACAACATGCTATGAGCAGCTAGATGAAAATTACCTGCTACAGAGCAGGGTCAGGAGACTTTCTGAAGGCAGCTTTGTGCACTTAAAATAAGCTCCTAGTTGGTTGCTGAACTGCCAGCAGCCCAGCGCATCACATCTTAGGCAACAGGGTCCTGTATCATCCACAGTATACAAGAACCATTCGGGAAAATTGCATTGCACTACTCTTCTTGCTACTCACCCTCCTGACCAGCAAGTGGGCATCTGAATGAAAAGGGGAACAAAATTTTAAAAGCTAATAACTTACTATTCTTTAAAAATAAAAAAGGATTTTGCTTGTAAGATATAGTATCCTTGGGAGCTTCCATGCCTTCCTTCAGGAGTAGTGACGTATTAAAATCGCATCTGCAGGGACATATTTGTACATTTGACAATCACTGATCTAAGGAATAATTACCTGGTTTATCTTTAAGGGAAACCACATGATTAATGCATTGAGGGCTTGGTTTCCCCCCATCGCATTCCCCCAAGGTTCTACATAAGAGACCAGTAGACCACAATAGTGACAATTAGCTAAGAGGAAGGGATTAGAAGACCAGATGCTCTTGAAGTCATAACCACAGCTTTCTTAGAGACCATATCACGGTAGCAGACTCCTCAGAAGGGCATGTCTCCCTGCACCTGTTCTGAAACCAAAAGAACTCCTTGGGAGAGTTGATTCCCAAGGAAACTTCTTTTACTTCTTCATGTGATCCAAATGGCACCCTACTTTTCTCTCCAGCCCTCATTTCCAACCACCAGAAAGGATGACGTCAGCCCTCTTCAGCTTTGAGAGGCACACAGTATCAGGTAGAAAATATAGTAGCTACAAAAGAGAACTCAGAAGGGTACGCATTTTGTGGAGTCTTGTAGTCAGATGGGCCTGAAACAAGAAAAACTTCTCTAAACAAAAAGGTTGCTACTGATTCTGCTCTTCCATCACCACAGAAGAGACGTTTTAGGGACTGAATTTCTCAGATACCCTCCATTCACCTGGTGAATTTGTCTCGTTTCCAATGTGACAAAAAAGTGACCGCAAACCTATGTATATTGTACCCTAGCCTGCACCACACTTGGAGTGGATGTAGAGACCAGCTCTTACAGCACAGAAATGGTTTGCTGGAGTTCAGCCCTCTCACTTGGAAACAATTAAATCTGAAGGGGTACATTTGCACATTAGGCAAAGAAAGCCAGCTAGGGATACAGTCACAGGTCAGATGTTAAATGCCAAAATGGAACAGGATTGACCAACTTGGGCCAAACCTAGCAAAGAGATGATCAAAACGAAATTGGGTCAGGCTGTGAAACGTTTTGAGGCACAGGGAAGTCAAGTTTTTCGGTGTAACTGATATTCCCATTAGGCATGAGGGGAAGAAATGTGGTGCAGCTTTTTCAGGGCTCATTTGGGTGGCCCCGAATGTCCAATCCCCACTGAACTTCCTGTTCAGGCCCCTTTGGAGCTGACATGCCAAGTTTTTCAGTAGGCTAGTCTCCCGGAGAGGTCTGGCCTCAGCCTTCACATCATCAGGAGAGCAATGGGGGGGAGGCCGGAGAGGAGAGCCTATGCACAGCCAGCGAGGTCTCCGCCTAGGAGCCAGAGAGGAAGAAAAATAAAGCCATTACACTGCCGCCAAATGACTAACGGAGGAAGTTGAGCAGAACCCTCACCCACCCTTCCAGTGCTCCCAGCGGCTCACATCCCCACACGTGTGTGAACACGTTGGTGGGCTAGCACACACCCCTCTACCCTCGGGAGTCAGACAAACTCTAATGGCTTAGTCCCGAGCTTCTTTCCCTGAGGAACCGACCTTGTGACCATGTTGGACCAAGCACTCCTTTCAGACCCGGAGCTAAGCTACATATCCAAGATAGGAGGCGGAAGCAGTAGGGAGCCCCGTGGTAAAAGGAGAGTATTTAGGCTACATCAGCCAAAAGACCAGGCCAAAAAAATGATACTGCGGACAGGGGCTACTTGGCTTCTGAGGGTCCCTACCGCTGTAGTTAACCCGGTCCATCCTGAAATCAGTCATCAGAGCAGAAGTCAACTTCCTTCCATAAACTGGGATCCAACGTTTGACCTTGTGAGAAATTCTTCCCCCAAGAACAGTGTTTCTCAAATGTTAAATGTGCGTCTGAGTTGCCTCGTCATCCAGTTAAAATGAATATTGATTCAGCAGGCCTGGGATGGGGCCCAAGAGCCTGCATGTCTAATGAGCTCCTGGTCCTTGTTAAGGTAACAAGGAATAAATAAGGCATGAGAATAGTGACACAATCCCACCCGTTTTTCCTATCCCAGAAGCAGTTAAATGCCATTTTACCCGACCAGCTGTAATCTCTTTAGAAACAGGAAGGTAATATTTTAGAGGGAAGTGTCCACTAAATTCTAAGAGATCGCCAAAAGTTTTTTTTTTTTTCTTGCACAATAAATAATGAGTTCCATGTTGCTAGTGCGAGTCAGAGCACAGTGTGGTCAAAGGTAATTTCTTCTTAATTCTTGTAGAGGCGCCAAAAAGTACACACGACTAAGTTCAGGTGCCTTCTATAATGTCCTTCCCACCTTCCCCAGAAGGTGGTGCAAGAGAGCCACGCCTCCACCAAGGACTCCAGTCACTCTGTGGGTTGGCTTTTGCTGGTCTGACGCTCAAGTGCCAAGCAGCCTGAGGCAAAGTTTTGGGGGTGGGGGAGTGGTGGAGAACACAACCCAAAATACAAAACAAAAAACCCAGAAGCCTTCTGATAGATTCAAGTTACTCAACAATTTTATTTACCCATTCTACACACACACACACACACAAAAACACATTTCAAATACAGTTATACACCTTATGTGGATCTGAGTGCCATATTTTGACATCAATGTCACCAGATTAAATTAGAATGCTGCTAAGGATTAACATTCCTGCTTTCAACACAGCTTTGCCTAGGAAACATGCAGGATAGCCGGTTCCCAACTCAGTCCATTCCATTTAACCCAGTGGTGCTCAGCCCACTCTCAATCCCTCCAGAGGGCACAGCTGGCGACAAGTCCTTTGCTTTTGCCACACCAAAACTATCACCATGTCAGAATAAATTGATTTTGTTATTTCAACACAAGAAAAAAAAATGTACACAAGCAATTCAGATACAAAAAACACTGAGTAGCTAAAAATCGGTCATGGATCCCCAGTGAAAGCCTTACTGAAAAGAATACTTTTGCCAAAATTTCCTTTGCATTTTTATTGATTATATTATAATTAAGAGGCAAATGGGTAGCAGACTAAAAATATCAGTATTATCCAATGGAATGCTACAGCCCATAGCAGGGAAGCTGAGGACACAGAAAGTTCAGAAAGTGAAGTCCTGCCCAGAAATGGGGGAATGGATAGGATGACTTCAAGTAAAGGTAACAGTGTCAGGCTCTGAGCAGGCATTTCCTTAGCTGAGTTTACAAAATAACTTACAAGTGATGTTCAACCTTCATTTTCTACAAAATGATTAGAATTTGGCTGCTACTCTAAAAGAAATGTCTATTAAAAATCATAGTGTATAGAACTTCCCCCCTAAAGAAAACATGTGGAGTGGTTACTTCCTTTCTTTGTAGGACATGTACAATAGACAGAGAATTGTAGTAACATGCATACAGTGTCAACTGGTACAATTAGAAAACAGTCAGACTTGTCAGCTTACAGATCTTAGTAGAGCCTGTTGGTTAGTCAGCATAGGGACCCTACCAGAATCTGTCAGGCAGCATGTGGACCCTACCACAGTCTGTCAGTCAGTCAGCACATAGATAATTCTAGATACAGTGTTCTGGACATGATGAGTCTAAATTAAATTCCTGGACATACTTCTGATATCTGTGTCACCTCGATCAGAAGTCAGACATCAATCCTGCCAATGTTGCAACCTGATTAAAATTAAAATATTTAATTCCAATAAAATTATTTAATTCAAAGTAAAATATTTTAAAACACAAGTCAAAATGTATACCGGAAAACCTATGTAAAGTTATCAAATTTCTGGAAAACAAACACAATGTGGCCTCTGGGCTTAACAAAGACAATGGAATGTGCATAAGACTATACAACCCAGATAAAGTTCCCTCAATTATTAGGCACTTATTTCCCTTGTCCTTTGGCTACCCTAAGCATCAGTGAGTTTCTCTGGTACTCAGATCTTCTACTCACAGATACACCATAAGATGGATTTATTTCCAAACAGCTGTATCATGTTTCTTCAAAATGCCAGTGTGTCTGAAGATCAAATGTGGGTTGCAAAGAGGAACACCCAGATCCTCACAGGAAACATTCAACCGTTCAGTCTAGGATACAAATATCTTGCACTCCTAACCCTAACTTCTTGGGAGTTAGTGGGTGGGTGGGGGATGGACAAAAAAACACAAAAGAACAAAAACCAGAGATAAGGATATGGGGCAGACCCCTGGCACAATGCATGTTTTTAATAGATTTTCTTATTCTACTTTCCAACTGAATGTAAAACAATCTCCTTACCAAAACAAAAGCAAAAACAATACAGATAATAAATAAGAGCTAAATTCCAATTTAAGGATTAAGATATAGGAAAAGAAGCTAGTTCTCTAAATCTGCTTTAGATTCCTCTTCACAACTGTCACGGAATTCCTCATTTAGTTTTAAAGCAGGAAAAAGATAATCAGTGATTATCAAAGATAATAAAGTGATTTTTTTCCCTTCCTAATTTTCTACCAGTAGATTAAATGCTAAAGCCTTCACCTATTTCTCCCATAACACAGCTGAAAGCCTCAGCAAAAGGTACTCTGGAGTTCATCCTTTCTTACTAGCATTCGTGATAAACACACAATCAGAGTAACGTGTATATACTACCGACACACACTCAAATAAGAAGGGGAGAGGACAGGAAAGAAAAGATAGGGAACAGGAATTCTCTAAAATGTGGAATAAGAGCTCTCTTCTATTCTATGCTCTCCTGGCTTCTTTCTGCTGAAACCTCTCTGGAGGGATCTTGCTCTAAAAACCAAACAACGCTGAAATCCTTGCTGTTGTCAAGTTCTAATTTCTCATGTCCAATCTGAGAATTATAAGACCTCCTCTTCTTGGGGAAGCAAACTAACACATGGGGAGAATGGCAAAATATCAGCAGGCTGAGAGCCCAAATGAACATCCCAGTGCCCTGTGTCTAATGCAGGGGTTTACAACAAGGTAAAACAATGCTAGTTTGTTAGCGAATTCTCTTCTCACTAGGAGTACATACAGCCCAAAGCCAAATCTTAGATCAAAATGCTCCTTCTCATGCATTAGTTCTGAATCACTCTCACCTCACAGCAAGAGAAAAGACGGAATGCCCATTTGGGCTAAAGATGCCACCAGCCAAGCAAAGCTAGACAAGACAACCTTGTAAAAGTGCCACACACACCACCTAGACCACATCATTCTGGGGGACATTCCCACCTCCCAACCCTTTTAGTCTCATACATGTAGGACACGAGAAAAGTCAGAAGGAATCTCTACTCCACTTCGACATCCACGTTTACAGACTCAACGTGGCGCTCTTTCACAAATGTTCATTTATTATAAATTATACGCTCTTGCTCTAAAATAACCTTTTTCAGGGCAAGGACCTTTTCTGCTGCTTTGGTGTCTCCTTCTCCCACCACCACTCCACCCAGCCCAAAGCCCCACAAACATGGACACTAGGTACACATTATATAATGGCTAAACAGGAATAGGAAGTTACCTTATGTCTGGAAGGCAATTTAGAGCAGAATCTAGGCAAGTGGCCTTTGAAATTGGCTGTGATGTCCTACTCAGGATGTAGCAATAAAGGACTCAAGGTCACAAGCCAGCTGCCTGTGATGATAACCTTTATCATCCCACAAGTTTTATCTCAGTACCTCTCTCCAGGGTGCTTAAAATTCTCAGCTATTATCATAGGACATTTATATGACAGTGATTTGTTCCACATCACCCTGCAATGTAAAGTGTTAAAGCCGGAACAGGCTTCTGCCTGAAGTAATAATGAGGGGGTAACTTCATTCAATACTGTGATCTGCTCACACATCTAACTCCAGGGAACTGTCCTTTCAAAACCATGAGGAATTCAGAATTCCCAGGTTGACGCTTGGTCCAAGGAACTACTGTTTCTCCATCCAACAACATAAAATAGAGTTCTAACCTGGAGTATGATTCAGAATCATCAGAGAAGCTATTTAAACACATGCATGCCCAGACCATAATCCCAGAGACTGAATCAGAATTAAGCCTAGATTGGACACAGGCATGTGCATGTTTCAAAAGTTCTATGGGGATTCTAATGAAGATTCCTAGATGAGAAGCACAACAAAAGGTCTCCTATTACCAAACAAAAACATCCCTGGCAAATAGCTAACTTGCTCTCACTGGTCACCTCTAAGAGACAGATTGATAACTTTAAGGTACGGAGTCCTCTCTCTCTTTTAAAAATCTCATGAGGGGCTTCCCTGGTGGCGCAGTGGTTGAGAGTCCGCCTGCCGATGCAGGGGACGCAGGTTCGTGCCCCGGTCTGGGAAGATCCCACATGCCGCGGAGCGCCTGGGCCCGTGAGCCATGGCCGCTGAGCCTGCGCGTCCGGAGCCTGTGCTCCGCAACGGGAGAGGCCACAACACTGAGAGGCCCGCATACCGGACAAAAAAAAAAAAAAAAAAAAATCTCATGAGAACTCTAGACTTGCCTCTCAGAAAAATGCACATACGTATATTCATATATTTTGTATACAAAACTGGGGGAGGTATACCATCGTGGGCCACCAAGGGGCTAAGAATCCCTACTCTAAACATAACCTTGCAGAAAAAATAAAATGACACAAGTAAATGCGAAAACAGTCAACAGCTAGACCCCACAGGATTCTAAGACTACTCTAGACACCAAGATGATATAAATTAATACCCTAGTGAGGGAGATTTAATTTATCACCAGGCTTTCCCAATATCTGGGGAAAAAAACTGCTCACGCAGAACATTTTTTGACTTAAAAAGGAGAATGTGTTGAGAATTACTAGAATGTGTTGAAAATTACTAGTTCACTAGCAGCTCTAGTGAACTCTTCTCTGCCTTTCCCTTGAGCAAATTCAAACCTCAGTGGTGACTCCTAAATCTAACTCTGTCCTTCTCAACAGTCCTGGAGGTCACTGGCTTTGGCAGCAAAGTTCCTGTAGTTGGCAAAGAAGCCGGGAACCACTGGAGAAAATGTATGACACGCCTCCAAGGGCCCTGTAAGAGCTAGAGGCCAGCCTACTCTCCTAAACCTTACCCCTCTGCAGCCCAGAGACCTCACACCTCTGCAGCCCAGAGACCTATGTCTGAAAAATACAAACCAAGATATTTCACACAGGCTGAAAGCCAGCTTCCCCCAGGGTACTGAAGACTTTAGGATTGCTTCTCATGAAAGGAGGCAAGAACTCTCATCCTATGTCTACCTGCAGGCTCCAGAGCATCTGTGGATGTTCTGTAGCCTGGGCTGACCCTTGTAGGACCTGGCTTGAGAGGAAGGGAGAAGGGAAAAGAAAGGCTCCCCCAGTCCAGATCCATATAGGCCCACTGCAGAGAACATCAATGGAGGCCAGACTTCTCTCCCACCCACTGCCCCTTCCCTCCTAGACAGACACACAACAATGCCATGCATCACACTGGGCAATCCAAAGGGGACATGAGAGGAGGGAAGAAAGCAGGCAGGTCACGACTGTGAGTAAAGCACACCTGGAAGAGACAAAGGTAGAGGGGAAATGGGCTTCTGTGTCCCCCTCCACCCTGCCCCCACTTTACCAACACAAGGACATTAGTGAGTTTAGACACTGTGGATGGACAAGAACCACGGCATGCTCAGCCTCAGCCCCAGCTCTGCCAATCACCCCAGGAGAGTCGATCCCTTTTCCTCCTCCTCCAGACCCCCCCAACTGAGGACCTGTCCTAAAACACCCAACTCGCCAGCTTGCCCCTGGACAGGGAGATGTCTCACACCGTACACTAGCTAAGGTTGGTCTGGAAACACATGACCTCACATTCTCTGCTAAGATCCACAGTGTGGGGCTGGTGGGGGGGTGGGGAGGTGGGAGCTGGAAGTTAAATGACTCCTTGGTGATTAGTGACAAGGGCAGGAGGCCAGGATGGGAGGGAGACACACGGTTACACCACCGGAATGCTGACTTGGGTCTTCGGCTGGTCGGCCCCTTCTTGCATGTCCAGGGCACGGAGAGGGCTGAGGGGCTTGAGGGGCCGGCTCCCAACACTGTAATTTCTTGGACGCCTTACTGTATTCGAACTGGACAGAGGCGTAAAGCTGTTCCTTCTCATCCTTACAGGGGTTTGGTTCTTGGGGAAGTTGTTCTGATTGGAAACGAGGGACACCACACAAATGAAAGCCAAGCCAAAAGCTCACTCATAAACCACAGCAGCCTCCTGCAGATGGGGTCTCTCCTAAGACATGGGCCACGGCCTGGTCCCCCAGCCCCGGGAGACTAAAGGTTGTAAGGGGTAGAAGCTCCTTGAGCACCATACTTCAAAGCAGGAAAGAGGCTCAAAGAAAGGAAGGGGGTTATTTAAGATCACACACAGATTACCAGGACAGACCTAGGAACAAACCTATACCTCCTGACCCCACCTTACAGGCACCTCTGGATCCTGCTTTCTAAAGGGAGCGCTTTCTGGGGGGAAAATTTGCATTTCACTTCTGCCAAACACTTTCCATAGTTCATTGGATTTCCAAGAGCCAATCCACAAGGTTAAGACTCAGGAAAGAGATACTGATTTTAAAAAATAGTAATTCCAACATCTCTCCTTTGTGGAAGTAAGCAAACTACATGGGACATGAGTTCTGGATCGGTTTTCCTTTTGTACGTAAAAGAAACCCAATCTCTCGATGTCAAAGGTTCAAAGACTTGAAGTGGTGGGGAACCAGCATGTCATCCGTGGGGAAATACTTACAGTTGGCTTGTCACGGTGAGTGTTCACAGCCTCCACGTTAAGTTTAATTGTTTCCACTTTGCAGCCTGAGAAAACAGAGGAAAGTGGAGAGGGCTTCAGGAAAAAAGCTCAAAGAAAAATTCCTTAGTTTCAGTATGGTAATAAAAGAACATATATATTCCCCAATACATACATACATCCCTTTAAAAATGGAAGGCACTGATGGAACTCCCCTGGTAGATACAGGTGAGGACGTTGAACTTCTAGGCAAACTTCAGAGAAAATTCAAAAATCCTGACCTTCCTCTATCCCCACCTCCTGCCCAGCTCCTAGGCTCATAGTTACCGTAGGCTACAGGAGTAAGTTTGAAGATGGTATGGAGAGGGCACCTCAGGTACGGTAGCTCATCTGAAAGCAGAAAGACCAGGCGGAGGAAGTCTCAGTGTTATGAAGCAAGGTCAAGTTAGTGGAAGAGAGAACCTAAGGCTCCTGACTTTTCTTTACCCTGGCCTGGAGTTAGGCATCTCCTCCTCTAAACCCCCAGACAATTACCAACATAGCCTCCAAGGAAGCCACCCAAGCTACTGAGTGGCTAAGAAAGGAAAAAAGCCCACTTTAGACCCTTCCCTGCAGGCAAAACGAGAGGGAAGGGAAGACTGGGGCACCGTGGGTACACCAAAGGTCAACCTGCAGGCTTCCCAGCAGCTCAGGTAGACCAGGAAGGGAAGGGAGGGGAGTATCGGAGAAGACAGCAGCACTTCCTTATTGCTCTCCCCAGAAACCGTCTACCCTGAATCCAAAGGATGAAGACGCTTCTAAGATAACACCCTCCTAGTAGCCCAAGTAACAAGCCGGGAATGTTCAACCACTTTTCTAATGCTGCCAGGAGTGTCAGCGCAGTGCTGCCCCTTTAGCCAGGCAGGACTGACAGCTAAAGCAGCAGTTGCTCTCCACTGGGGGTGTCTGTATCAGCAGAGTAAATTCAGCAAGTAGATGGCACGGCGGCTGCTGGGAGCCCCACACTGCTGCCTGAAGAATGTACTCTGATTTGAGTGGAAGAGTGGGAGGTCTCGTTGCCAGGGATCCTGGTGCCACCCCAAGTCCAGCCCCCTCCCTGTGGATGTGTCCCCAGCCCTTCCCTCCAATGGCACCTGCACCCTTGTCCAAGAAGTAGGCCAGGAGGCAGCGCATGACAGCCTGGTGGGAGATGACGAGGACGTTGCCCTGACGCTCCAGCTCCATGATGACAGGTTCCAGCCGCTGCACCAGGTCCTGGTACGACTGTGGGGGAAGTGGGGTGGGCTGGTAGGAGGCGCAAGCTGGCAGCCAAGTCAGTGGCTGGGTCCAGAGTTAAGAGGCCGCTTCTCCTTTCTCCCCAGCTGGCTTTCCTCCTGGAGGTTTGGCGCCTTCGTGTCGCCTGCTAACCACCCCCAGCCCTGGTACCTCTTGAGAATATTCAGACTTTTCAAGAGCAATGTTCAGACCGAGAAAATTGCAGGTCGAGAAGAGAAAATCTGAATGCAGCCTGTGGGGTTCTTTTTCTCTCGACAGAACAGGCAAGAGTGCAAGGCAACAAAGGCTCCTAGGGATTTCCTAGACCCCTGTTGTTTTATTTACCTTTGCCTCACACCCCTAGACTATGAAGCCACTTGGACCAGCAAGCAGCCTTAAACATCACAGATGAGAGGAAAATCATTCATATCCCATATATTTACTTGGGGCCTATACCTGCTTGGGGGGTGGAATGAAAAGAAAAGAAGTTAAAAAAGACCATGTGGATTCTAACATATACTCAGCAACAGAGGCTATCTTGTTACCCTTTCTCTGGAGATCTTAACAAATCAATGAGGCATTGGACTGCCGACTGCCAGAGCTGAATTAAACACAGCAGGCCCCAAAGGCAGGAAGAGAAACTAAATGATGCCTTAAGTACTCTTTCTCGGCCCCCAAACTCACATTCAATCCTTCCCCAAAATTAAAGCTAAGCCCCTAGCAAAGGGTGAGGCAGTCACCCCTCGTGAGGGAAATCTCACCTCCCCTCCAGGATATCGATACAGGTATTTCTCTTCATCTCGAAGCGCAAACTCGTCTGGGTACCGCTCCTTAATCTCCGCATAAGTCATCTCCTCGCACACGCCCTGCAGGAGCCACACGGCTGGAAGAGGCGAACTGGACTCACACAGCCCCCCAAATGAAAAGGCGGCCGTGAAGAATATTAGTTATTAGTGCCAGGCACTGGGCTGGCTCCGTTCATGCACTGCAACTGACCGACTAGCAGCGTGAGGGGCCACTGGGAGAGGAGGCCGCCTTTCTAGCTTAAGCTGCCACTTTCTCCTACTGCTGTGGGGAACTTAGAGGTCAAGAAAAGTCAGCAGGATAAAAGGAACAGGAAGCAGGGAAGGAGGGGAAACTGAAGGCACTAGGGAATTCTTGTAGAAGGCATAAAAGGGTACAGAGGAAGGAAAGAAAAAGAAATGCTTACTTTTGCGCTCAAGGACACAGAAAGCCAAGAACAAATTGGAAAGGACTTTTCCAGAATAGCTGACCAGGTGGCCTAAGCAGAAATTAAAGAAGTGAGTTGTCAGCTATTTCTTTTTCCTAGGAGGAAAATATATGAAGGGTCCAAATGGAGCTTCACTCTCTCCAGGTGCCAGGGGCTAGGTCAAAAATTGGTTCAGGTCCCATCACTGGCACAGGTGTGTCAAGCAGGCAGGAAGCCCTGATTGGGGGTGCATTGTTCCCACTTATTCCCTAAACTGGCCATAGATTCAGCTTCCTCAAAGTCCCTACTTGGTGGTTCTAGTTTTCTAGATGAACGGCCCACATGGTGACTGCTGAGAGTTCCTGCCTGAATAGGAGACCCTTACTGGCTTTTTAGCCATCAGAGCTTCCTACTCACAGCATCAATCTCATTCAGAATCTTCCACTGCTCATAGGTCACCCCCAGAGATTCAGCGGTCTGGATAGTCCTCTTCAACTGACTTGTCCACACTTTGAGGTCTGCTATCTCCTGTTCCTCCAGAAACTTCCTTAGAGCCTGGGCAAACTGGGGTGTAAAATAAAAATTTTAAAAGAAAACACACACACAGGGAATTCCCTGGCGGTCAGTGGTTAGGCCTCCACGCCTCCACTGCAGGGGACGCGGGTTCGATCCCTGGTCAGAGGAACTAAGATCCTGCAAGCCGCGCATGGCATGGCCAAAAAAAAAAAGAAAGAAAGAAAGGAAATACAGACACAGACACACACAGACACACACACACAGACACACACAGACACACACACACACACAGACACACACACACACAGACACACACACACACAACACACACACACACACACACACACACACACACACACACACAGAGGACTGTTAACTCAGCCTAAAAAGGACAATGTGTATGACCCCAGTCAAACTCCAAAAGGTGCTACATAGTTATAATAAACCCAAGAGGAAATGAACTTTAACCAGAGCATCCTGTACCGTGCTGAGCATACAAGTTGAGCTCAGTCAATATGGGATGGCTGAATGATCACAGCAGAAATGGTTCCAAGTTACGCGCCCTTCAATACACAGCTAGAATCAGTGAACAAGAAAACGTCTCTTTACTTGGTTGACTATCTGAAACCACAGCCTAAACTCCAATAGGATTCAGTAAGAAGTAAGGGGATCAAAGAGATGACAACCACCATGCCCTTCTAACTCTAAGCCTCGGAAATCCAGCCTGCTGGCTAACTACTCACCTGTTTTCCCCGCACCGACAGGCCTGAGTCACCCCCAATCTTTCCCAAGAGATTGAACTCGCTCTCTCCGTGCCGGCAAAGGTAAATGGTGCGAGGATGGACATGGATATTCATGAGGTAGTAGACGATCTTGCTCTGGATGTAGTCCTGGACTTTGTTCACTAGAAATCGCTGGCCCACGTTTATCACCTTGATGAAAGAAAGATCCCTGGGACAGAGCAGGAAAAAAAAAAAAATCCCCTGGGTATGAAAATCTGAGGATAACAGGAGGAGGGGAAAGGATCTGTATAGTTACTTGCAGGCTCCCAGCAGCTCTTCTGCCTCTCCTGCCACACCCTGACCCAGATGTAAGGAATCAAATGGAAAGAGATGGATGGCTCCTCAGAACAAAGATGCAGTAAACTTTCCTGAACTTCTCATCAGGCAGTACCATTTCCTCAGTGCCTACACTGTGCCAGGCACTGTAGCTAAGTAAGATAAACAGAATTCAGGCTTCCCCTCAGGGGCTAGACTAGATGACCTGAAGATTTTGCTAGCCCAGAAGTTTGTTGAGAAGCACAGTGCCCACCTGAGGCTGTCAAGACGGAGTCAGAGTATGGCATCCGCCAGCGGGGAGGGGCGAGGAGGGGGGTGCAGAACCATAGACAGAGATCTCTGTGCGTTCCCCCCCATCTACATAAATCAAGTTTCTCTCAAAGGCACTCACACAGACTGTTTGCTTTGTGGCCATCATGGAATTGTTCTCACTATAAAAATAATAAGTGTTTATTCCAAAAAAATTTTTTTTAAGAAAGAATGATGCAAATAAAAATTACCCATAGCCCTACCACCAGAGGTAACATCTACACATCACACACACACACACACACACACACACACACACACATTCTTCTAGAATATTTTTCTATGTAGGACTTTGGGCTAACTGAGGAATATACTATTATGACATATCTAGGGCAGTGGTTTTCAACTTCTGTATTAAGAAACACCTGCAAACACTAACATTGTGGGCAACATACTTGAAGGAACTGAAAGACTCGAAAGATGAAGCAGACCACTGAAGCAATTTAACAGTGGCTATGCACACTGTCTTGCCATTTGCTTGGCTTCAGGGCTGTATTCTTATCTGACTAGAGCTGTACTGACTGCATGCTTTTTCAAAGGCCACCTTCTCACGGGTCTCCCTGTGCACATGTCATTCTTCAACATGGACTTGGCATCTTGCTACGGCTCTTTTCGCCCACACACGTCAAGTTAACCTGTGTTCTATGCCACACTGATGACAGGCACTGCCATAGTAAGTAATATCTAAAAACCACTTAAATATATATATTTATATATGCATACACATGTACAATATATTGTTTTATGCAAAATAAATTTACATATTATGTTATTTTACACATGGAATATATGCACATATATTCATATGTATTACTATATATTTTTTACATGTACATATATATATATATATATATATACATATACACACACACACAATAAACTTTAAAAATTTATCAAAAACTGATGACACACCTCTAAGAGATGTCCTGCAACACCTTAATTCAAAACTACTGATTTAGAGCAGTGGTTCTCAACAGGGGGTGATTTTGCTTCCCAGGGCACATTTGGCAAAGTCTGGAAACCTTTTTGGTTGTCACAGCTTGGGAGTGCTACTAGTATCTAGTGGGCACAGGTCAGGGATCCTGCTAAAGACAGCTACAGTGCACAAGACAGCCCCACAGCACAGAATTATCCAGTTCAAAATGTCAATCATGCTAAGGTTGAGAAATCACGCTCTAGAGGACAGACCAGAAGAACTCAGGATAAAAAACAATCCAGTGTTCAGGTATAAGGTTCAATCTGCCTAGAGGCCACAAATCCATACCTTGTTTCCCTGGAACGATGTAAACAGAGGTCTGGATTGTCAGAGGGAAGTCTAGGGACAAGGGGAGAAAGGCTCTTTTCTCAAATGAGACCCCTGCCTCAGGCCCTTCAAACCTTGGCCTTAAACCTTACTTGTCATAGTTGTCTGGGTCAAGGGGTTGATAGGTGACTTTGTAGCACTCAATTCTCTTTAGGAAGTCCTCCATCACATTCTCCCTGTTCCTTTCAGGGTAGTCAGGGCTCGACACCTTTACCTCCTGGAATCACAGGGAGAGCAGGGCCTAGTCAGAGGTCTGCCCTTAACAGCCCTCCTGCCAACAGCCACTGCTAAATAAAGAAAAGGAAGGCCATAGAAGTGGCCTTTCACTGGAGCATTGGCAATCCCCATTCACTGAGAACCCCCTCCCTGTCCTGTGACCCTGGCAACCAAGAAGGGAAAGACAACTGGGGAGTCATGTGCCTGCCCTTGGCTGAAGGACAGAGGCAGTCACGCAGCTGAGGCAGTTCTTGGGCCCCAATCCTTTTATGTACCTTCCTGGGAAAACAGAATGGGATTCAATTTCTCCCCAAGGGCAATTAGAATAGGGTGCTTGATCTGATACACTGCTGACTCGGACCAGATACCTCTTCAGCAAGTTCCCACACTGCTGGGAGAGCACAACCAAGACAGAGTGCATGGATATCCACTCGGCACAGCCCAGCACAACCATCAAATGGGCACTGGCATAAGCTGTGACCACACACAGCATGAGGTGCCCAGTGCATAGAATGCTGACGTCAATGTTACACAACTGGTGGGCAGATGACCTTCCTGTAAGGTGGCCCTGATAGATAATAAAGAGTCTGATCTATTCTAAGAACATACCTGGGTCTCAACATCTAGCTAACACCCAGAACACAGGGCCAGGGCTACTACAGTTTAAGTTTGGCCTCTGTTCAACAGCTAATTCTTACTTTCTTCCTCAAAGCCTCTTTCTTTTCCCAAGGGAAGAGTGTGGAAGTACAAAACGGTGTTCTGGCAGATCAAAAAGATCACCCTGTGTTGTTAAACATGTCTATTTCTCTCTTTCATTACTGGGTTGACTCCCCACTCCACCCCCACCAACACACACACAAGGCATAAAAAGGTGGTGGTGCGAGGGGATGTCACCTACCAGGATGTTGGCAGCAATGACATCGGGATCATCGCAGACGGATTCCACAAAGAACACCTGGCCAGGGTGAGAAGGCAGTGATCAATGAGTCAGTAATGGCCAGCCTGTTAATTAAGAGCACACGCTCATATCTGCTCCACTGAAGCCACCACATCCCCTGGGGTATTTTTTCATGAAAGTGGCCTTCAAGGCCTCTTCATTTAAAAATAGCTCTTACCACATCCCCAGGGCCTCATACATACAGACTAAGGAGCTGAGAAAGGACCTGAAAGAAATCACTCAAGGACTGGCAGTGACTCACCAAGAGGAGAGAATCAGATGTCCAATCCTATCCTCACCCACCAGAGTCAAACAGATCTGCATGTCCCTCCTAACTCCCCACCTCCATTCACCCCTCCTCCTCCAGCTTGGAGGCAGATTCTACCTTGAAGGAATTCTCCTCGGCAAAGTTCAGAATCAAGGCCCTCCTCTCTCGAGTGGTATTGGTAGCATCAAACACCTGGGAAGACAGCCCATAAGACAGATGCACGGGGACTGAGAAATGAAATCCCACCAAGGCGGACCCAAGGTGGGGCGGTGCAGCCAGGCTGCTGAAAGGGGGGAGACGGGGGAGGAGGCAGGTGAGGCTTACCGCAATCTGCCCACTGTCCTCCGTGAGATACACCTTCACATCCTCCAGTGCAACCAGAGCACACTGTCTGCCAAGAGAGCAGAGGAATCAGCCAGAGGACTGGGCCGGGGCCAAGCTCAGGCACAGTCAGAGACATGAACAGCCGGGGTGCCACAGGGACCACACCCCTTCCTGTTCAGTTTCCCCACTGATCAAAACTTTTCCCTAATTAGACCTTTCAACTTGCCCATTGAGATTTTTCTACCATCCTATATCTTTCCTCTTCCCCTGTCCCATGCACGTGTCTTACCCCTCTGGAGGCTTAGCCTACAAGCACACACACAACTTTCTGAGCCCTGTTCTACCCATCCAAGCCCATGGTGAGCTGCCCAGCAGATAACTTCCACTTAAAATCCCCGCAAGGTATTTACTGAAAGGGAAACCAAGCCCCATCACATCCAGTCTCATGACGGCCAAGAAAGAGCTGGCCTGGCAGTCAGGCCTAGAAGACTCACTTGCGTATCTTCATGGCCTCCTCGTTGTCATGCCGGAAGAAGTCATAGGATTTATAGGACTTGACCGCTTGACGCCGATACACCCCAAGATTAAACACTGCAGAAGACACCCATACCCTCCAGCAGTGAAACAATACGATGTCCCAAACGGGACTTCTTGGTCTAATGTCAGAGTGGCCAAGGGGATGAAAAAAGCACCATGGTATGTTGAAAACAACACCAGATTAAGAATCAGGTTAACTTCAAGTTCTGACTTACTAGAAGTTGGACAAGTCTTAAATTGTCTGACTTTCAATTTCCTCAGCCATTTTGGCTATTCCACATGGATACTGCTAGATAATGTAGATGTAAGGGCTTTGGAAATGTAAAGCTCTATACTCATTTAATTCTTAATACTCCTATCAAAGGCATTGCCCCCAAACTAGGCCAATTCAGCCAGGCCAGGAGGAACAAGTGTATGGACAGGGAATAAATCCAGTAAACCAGGAAGCAACCACTATTGCTGCCAGGAGAACCCTGTATCCTTGATGCCAGGGAGAATAAATCTCCCAGAGGCCTGTGAGGCCCAGGAACTGATGACTTCCTTTCCCAAGGAATGCATGGTTGCACCTACCTTTGGTGGGCACCCCAATCCAGTTGAGGTAGCGTGTGAGTTTCTTGGACACGTAGGTTTTGCCCCGGGCTGGTAAGCCAATCATAACAATGAGGGTCGGGGAGTTGGTCATGTAGGATGCCCACGCTAGAGGGAAATGGAAAAGAACAAAACTAAATAAAGAGGGATCGGGCCTCCCTGGTGGCGCAGTGGTTGAGAGTCCGCCTGCCGATGCAGGGGATACGGGTTCGTGCCCCGGTCTGGGGGGATCCCACATGCCGCGTAGCGGCTGGGCCCGTGAGCCGCGTAGCGGCTGGGCCTGTGAGCCGTGGCCGCTGAGCTTGCGCGTCCGGCAACGGGAAAGGCCACGACAGTGAGGGGCCCACATATCGCAAAAAAAAAAAACAAAAACTGAGTTTGGGCTTCAAAAAAAAAAAAAAAAAAAAAAAAGAGGGATCAAGTAAGGTTTGTGCATGGGGCTGGAACTTCATGGTCAGAATCTGGTTTGATCCTCATACACCTCAATGAGGCCAGTGTCCAGGAGGACTGGAAAGGCAAACCGAGCAGATATCGGGGAAACCCTCCTAAAAGACAGTCAAAGGGTCATGTAGACTTCCAGAAAGTACCCAAACTAAGACACATCTTTCCCACTTGTCCAAGGTCTTCACAGAGGTGCACAAGATGGAAAGAGAAAAACAAGTGGCCAGGATTAGAAAGACAGTAACCATAGCATCTTCCTTAGCATGAGAATATCTAGTAACACGGGAGTGATAGAGCCATGAAGGAAAGTCTTGGGCCTGGAGATTCTACCAGTGCAGCACTGAGCTAGCTCCTATAACAGATCCAACAGAGTTTCTATCCTGAGGATTCCATCTAACCCTTCAGAACCACAGGCAAGAGTTTGAGCATGAAAAAAGAGCCTGGCCTTTACCCGTTTTGGCCTTTGTGCTCAGGCCATGAGTTTAAGCCAGAACTTCTAAACCATTTAGACTGTGTCAACGCCTACCTGACATAGGTTCTGACTAGACCTCAGGAAGCCTCGTGGTAAAGCTGGCCCACAAGGGCATCACAGCCAGCCTGCCTCAAAGGTCCAAGTAAAAGCAAGACAGTTTCAAAGCAGGAATAGCCATTGGTCCGCCCTTCTTTAGAAAACAATTGATTTCAGGAATGCTCATTTACAGAGACAGGTCTCACTGGGTAGCTGGGGGCAAACTAGATGCCCAGAGGCCAGGTGACTTGCCTAGGACACGCAATGAGTCATGGGAAGGGCTGGCCCTAGAATCCTGATCTTGTGCTTCCTTGGCAGCTTTTCTCCATAAAAAGAGCCTCTGATTCCTCATCAGCTTGCTCACAGAGGCTGGCTCCTTCCTGTCCATCCTGCCACAGAGGAGTGGTGGCAGAGTGCCCTGCGAGCCGCCAGCCACGTTCCTGGGGCCAAGACCCAAACTGAGGTCATCTGGGAGGGCTCAGATGGGAAAGGAGGGAGGCCCTGTGTGCAGATGGGGAAGAACCACTTTTGCCTTCGTCTTCCCAGCACTGCTTTCCAGAAGGTGCCCCACAAGTAGCTGCTGCTCTTCTTCCCTGGGACAAGGTGACCCTGTCAGGCTAAGAAACAATTCAGCAAAACTGGGGTACTTGGATGGGAACATCATCCTTTATTTTTTGAGAGGGGAATGTAAAAAGATCTCAGTGGAGAAGGGGGCAGAGGGGTGTGGGTAGAGAACAGAGCTCGGAAGGAAGAGAGTTTCCTAGGGGTGTTTGGCAAGAAGTACCCAGAAGCCAAACAGGGCCCTGGCGGTGAGGGAGGGGTGGATGCCCAGACTTGGGGTCAGAGGGGTTGGCTTTTAGTCCTTTACCTACTATGCACATGGAAAATTCCCAGGCCTGAGCAGGAGCCCCTCCAAGGTAGGCAACGAGCAACAGAAGTGATTTTCATCTCTGTCCAAACAGGGAGCACAAAGACAAGCAAACGCCATGCTGCAGCCTCGGCTGATGTTAATGCCTGATCTCTGACCCCTAACAGACAGATCAGCTGCCTCAGGTTTCAGGAGTGAAATCCTCCTGAGTCTTCACTTTCTCCAGCCCAGCACTGCACTCTTCTCAATCACCATGGCTTGGCTCGTTACCTGCACTTCTAGTACTGCTTGGTCCACACCTTCCAGCCCATTAGGCACTCCTCCCCAAAGGTCCTGTTATCCTCCCTGAAGCTGAAAATGAACTGATACTTGGGAGACGCTCTGAGGCCGACCAGGGAACCAGCTGCTCCATGTTTACCAAACTGGACAGAGAGTTCTAAGAACAAAAGAAAACACAGGCCACCAAGGACTCCCCACGGTGGCCCCCAGTACCATACCGCCCACCTCTGCCCATAACACACCCACATACACCTGCTGCAACCAGGGCTGCTCAATTTCCAAAGGACAAAACTAAACCACACTTCCTATCTCGAATTGCCACATGGGCAAAACTAGGTACATTCTGTACTGCCTGTTAAAAAACAAAGCCATCACCACCTTAATTTGAACAGTAGACACTGTATGCTGATTAATTTTGGAGACAATGTAACTTACCCCTTGACAAAGAATGGAAAGATGTTTCAATCCTGAAATTCTCTTCTACCTTCTTTACACAAGGTTGAACTCACTTTCTCAATCTTAAACTTATTTTCCCTTCACGAACACACTTCGAGGGAATGAAGGTGTGATAACTTCCCTCCTACGGACAGAAAACCTCAAGCCCAGAAAAGGGAAGAGCTTGGCCCACAGTCCCTCAATAGAAAGTCAAGGTCAGGGCTCTGACCAGACTCCTGGTTTCATGACTGCCCAATCAGTCCTAGTAACCAGCTCTTGTCAGCACCTGACAAAGGGAGCCATGTGGCCAGCATAACTGCTCTCTAATCTAAGCCTGAAGGGTGGTCTAGAAGGCCACCGGTTCCCGGCTTTCTCATGACCAAGTCATCTTCCACTTTTTGCTCTAAACAGCCCCAATATTTTGAAATATGCTGCCCTTTAAAGTGTGCTTCATTAGTAATACCTTCTTTTTATTCATCAGAAGTCATAAAACTGCCAATTATGCCCTGCCGTTTGACTGATAAGCATAAAATATCGAAGTTCTGCAGCCAAATGCTAAGAAAGTTTATGTTTTAGTTAGCCGTCGAAGCTATAGTTTAATGCCCAATTTCTATCACGCGCTTTGAAATTTAAAAACAGCTAACAATATAGAACTTTTGAGGGATGCTGATCAATGTTTCAAAGGTGTCTAACTTTCCTCCTGTTATTTCTGTAGGGAAAGCTGCTAGCACAAACAGGGAAAGGTGTATATGCAAGGATGCTCACTACAGCATTGTTTGTGATGGTGGAAAATTGGAAACAATGTAAATGTCCATCAGGGAGAGGCTGGCATATCCACACAAGGCAATACCATGCAGAATGAAGTAAATGTGAACTTACCGACATGAAAAAAATGTCCAGAATATAGTTTAAAAAGGGGGGGGGGTGATGGTAGAACAAAATATGTACAGTGTGGACCTATTTCCATTAATAGGATACACGAGAATAAGATTTTGGAAAGAATCAAACAACAGGGACAGGAGAAATGGTGAGATTTTCTTGCTTTTTACTTTCTTTCTGTATTGTGTGAATTTTTCATGAACATGTATTGCTTTTATAATTAGGAGAAGGTTCATACAAGGACTTATCTGTTCCAGACCTATTCAAAATATCAAAGAATAAAAGAAACAAAGAAGGAAAAGCATGTAGACCTTCCCTGCTACCCCTAATTCCTGCTTTCACTGAGCCCTGAAACCAGTTGTCTGAGCACCTTAAGGGCACCTCAGCCAGCACCAACCCCCCCTTCTCCCCCATCCCTGGAGCAGCTGAAATTCCAGTACTGCTCCTTTGGAGGTTCTGGCTCCCTAAAGACATTCTTCAGCCCTCCAGTTCAGGCACTTCCCAAGTCAAAGTCAGCCAACAGGTATAATTAACAGCAGTGGGCTAACAGGAAAGCTATTAATAAAGCAACTGCTGGGTGTGAACACTAAGCAGCCCAATAAGCCTGTTCCAAGATACAGGCAAATAACAGAGAGAAGGGAAATAAACTAACACATACTCTCATAGACTGTCACAGTCCCACAGTCCAACCACGAAAGGAGAAGAGGGGGGTGGGGTAAATGAAAGACAGTGGCTTCAGGACAACCAGATACCTCCAGTGGAGAAGAGGGTAGAACTTGGAAAGGAGAGATCAAGAATTAGAGTCTAGAGGAAGGAAAGAGACCTGGGATTACTGCTTCTTTGACTAATCAAAAGCCCTCCAGGCAAAAAAAAAAAAATGCAAAAAAAAGTTAGGAAGGCAGGTAGGAGAGTCCCATGGAGAAGAAAGCAGAACTAGAAGCACTGACACTGAGCATTGCACAGGGTCAGAGAGACTCCCACAGTTATCAACTCCCCCTGACCCCCAAACACCACCACCTGTTCTCTGCTCTTGTTGGACTCAAGTGTCCTAGTAGCACGAGGGCACCTCTCTTTAAAGTGTGCATTCCACACCCCCAAATCTGGGTTACCATATTGTCAAACAAGAGGAGAAAACATTTTTTACTGAAAATATAATTCTTCACAGAGCTCTTTTAAAAAGTGAGCTCCCAGCACAGCATTTAGACTATAATTCAATCTATATATAATGTTTCAGGAACAAACACAACATGCAAATAAAGTCACCAGTGAAAAATAACACAGTTTAGCCACATGCCCAGTACTCTTCTAGAAGCTGTCCTGTATTTACTCATTCAATTCTCACATCACTCTGGGGAGAGATACTATTAGTATCCCCATTTTATCAAAAAGTAAACTGGGGCATGGGGCAGAAAAGCAAGTTGGTTAAAAGCCTACAGTTAGGAAGCAGTAAAACCAAGATCTGAACCCAGGCAGTCTGACTCCAGAGGCTGCCCTCAAACGTCATGCTATACTAGTTATCTTCCACAGGGTGTTTGCCCTCAGTACCTGGCTTCCTGCCCTGGCAGAGAAAGAAGACCCTAATCATAAAGGTGCACCAACCCCAGTATCACACCCAAACAACCTGCCTCTGCTGCAGCCCAAACCCCAAAAAGCCTCATCAGTGCTACGTGAAAAGAGATGATCATCATGAACCACGAGACTGACGAGGTCATGACATCAAGGTTGAGACTCTGGGGAAAGCTTGAAACATGAGATGATCCCAGGTCTCATGCTAGTTGGCTGTTTCCACCTGCTGATATATATAACCACTGAAGTGAGAAGAACTGACTGATAGCATTCCAGAGGAACCTGGTAGCAGGGACAAGAGTTAGCTTTCCTAGAGGTTCCCCAAAACATCTGGGGACAAACTGCTCAGGACCTCTTGGCCTGGGCTCTGCAGTCTTGCAGTCTATAAGGATGCTTAGGCATGCAGATGCATGGGGGCAGCAAACAACACTTCATCTCTCTGCAAACCCACCTGCTGTCTCTGTCTAAAAGATGGGCATGGAAATGCTCCTGTGAAACCCATCCCCAGAGCAATGAACCTGCAGGGAAAATAGTCTGCAGAGTGTAAAGACTAAACCTGTGAGAAAGTAAGGTGCCCAAGACATGGCGAGAAGTGAAATATCAGGGCCGATGCCCCTTAGGCCTGTAGAAATAAGCTAATGGTTCTTACCTGCAATTTCTGCTGTGAGCAGCACCCTCACAAAACTTAGCCCAAGAGATAAAGGGAAACTGTTAACAGTATCAACCCCAAGGAATTCCTGCACCCTGCTACTCAGCCTTACTCACTGCGTGTACAATAACACTGGCTCTAACTTTCAGCATCAATCAACTGTGCAGATACCCCCAGGGTGGGGGAGATAGAGATTCAGTTAAAGAAAGCAGGAAGAATATGCTGGGCTAGGGCTTCCCTGGTGGCGCAGTGGTTGAGAGTCCACCTGCCGATGCAGGGGACACGGGTTCGTGCCCTGGACCGGGAAGATCCCACATGCCGCGGAGCGGCTGGGCCCATGAGCCATGGCCGCTGAGCCTGCGCGTCAGGAGCCTGGGCTCCGCAACGGGAGAGGCCACAACAGTGAGAGGCCCGCATACCGCAAACAAAAAAAAAAAAAAGAAAATGCTGGGCTACACCAGCAGTCTAGCCCCAAGGACAGACAATTCACTGAGTCTACTTGTTTCAGAAAGGAAATTCCCCTGGTAGACTTTGTTTTAAATTACCATGTCGAAGAACTATTTCTCACTCCCACCAAGCAGCAAAGTCTAGAATTACAGCAATATTCTCAAGGTAAAATCCCAGTAGACAGCAGCCCCTCCTCTTTACCAACACTCACAACATTTCTTCTCTGACATTCGTAGATTTGTTTTGGTTTCATAGTTGTTGTTGTTCTGTTCTGAGGAAGGGGCAGAATTCCCAGACATGGCAGCTCTTCAGGGAATGTCTGGAAGGGACAAAGGGGATGTAAGGAAGGGAAGGAAGGAAATATCCCTCAAAACATTCAAAAGCAGTGCGGTATAAGTGAAAGAACCCTGGGCCAAGGGTCAAGTCCAGCCCTCCTTCTCCCAGTTAATAGCTACATGCCCTAGGATAAGTCATGAATGTCCCTAGCCCTCTGTTTCCTTATCTGTGAAGAGTTGCACCAGAACCCCGATCTATAATGCTGACTTAGGAGTTTACATTCACATGAATTATCTCCTTCAATCCTTCCAATAATCCCATAATAAAACAGATTTGGCTACCATTATTACTTCTCCCCATTTTACAGATTGAAAAACTGACATTTATCAAACTAAGTGGCTTATCCAAGTTCCTTCCTGACCTCAGATTCCAATTTAAGAATCAGGGGAGAGTAGTGGCAGCAGCTGGGGGTGGGATGGGTTGCAAATAGATCAAGTTCATTATCATAAAGTAATTGCAGTCCAATGGTAGAATTCAGTTCTGAAAAAAAAATAAGTGGGTAAATCTCAAACATGTTCCCTGAAGGAAAAACTGTAGCTAGACCCGGGGACAGCCCTAGCACGTCACTATTTCTCTTCTGGTGTTTTTACTCTCAAGCCCTTGTCCGCACCCTCTCCCCATCTATCTCCTAGAAAGCAGTCTATGGAAGAAACACTGGGGAGCAAAGAGGTGGCAAATAACTTCTCTTATTCTGGTGGTAAATAACTTCTCTTATTCTGAAAGGTCACTTTCAGAATAAGGGGTAAGTCCTGACTCGAACGGGGGTGGGAGAGCCCCGAGTTCACTGCGCAAACCCAGACAAGGGACTCGTGAGGAATGAAAGTCCTACTGCTTCAAGGACCTTGCACTGTTATTCCACTGACCACACAAATTCTCTAACTCACACGTCAGCTGCGGCTCTGGGTCCCTAAACGTCCGCACTCCGGCAACGCCCGGGGGCCCGCACTTCCCCGAAACAGCTAGGCTTCATCTTCCCGCTCCTCATTAGGGTGCACGCAGCCCCCTTTCTCTCGCCCGCGTAACCCCTTCAAGGTGCTGTACAGCCGTCGCTCACCCTAGGATCCCTCCTAAGATCCCTCCGGGCTGTGGCCCCAGCACCTACCCGGTAACGCGACAGCCAGGAGCCGACACGGTGGCCGGGGTCCGGCACACCAGTCTCCGGCGAATCACGTGCCCTGCCTGGCTCCGCCCACTCTCGCGTTGGCCCTCACCTGGAGAGAATCGTCCACCAATCGAGCGCCCGCAGGCTCCAGGGGGCGGGGCTCAAATAGGAATCGCTGTCGCTAGCTCCGGAAGAAGGTTGGAACTGTGAAGGAGAAAGATCACAAGCTCGCAAGTTTACCAGCTCTATGGAGGTTGGTTACATCGTTGCCTGGCAACTAATAGGGATGGGGCGGGGTTAATTAAAAGCACGACTTTTTTCATACTCTCGCGAGAGTGAACTAGTAGACGTCTTGAAAGGGTGTGACTTTCTGGTGACGGGAAAAATTTTTGCGGAGATTAACGCTCTCCTCCCTGAATCCCAGCGGGACCTCGTTAGATCCATGAATTGAATAGTAAGCTATAGAAGAGGCTTTGCTAGAGTAAACTACCAAAGTACTTAAACTGATTACATCTTAGGGTGTTTGCATATTCCCTTAGGTCAGACACTGTAAACTAAGAAAATCAACTACTCTCATCGCTGAACCAGGGGCTTCCCTGGACCCATGCACATATTCCAGTGGACTTACCATCTTATTTATTCTCCCGCTTACAGCCCACGCTGTAACGTCTGTTATGGCCATCTTGAAGAACAAAAGAGGAAAATTGCTCCAGGAGAAAACTGGCTTATGAAAGTTTTGAAAGGATGCATAGTTTCCATATAACTTATTCAGAGGCAGATTTTTACAGTGGAGGTGAGTTTGCACATTTCAAGTGAACTTTTCACAGTTGCCCCCAGGACCATTTGATGCTTGATTGTGGTGATAAACCCCCTCTACGCAGGGTAGGCTTTGCTGCTCTGGATCCAGGATAAAAAAAACGAGTACATATTTCTCGGAAGAGAGGTAAATTCAGAGATATTTTTATTCCTCTTTCACCTGGGGATTAAATTCATCCTTCAAAACAGCTCAAACACTACCTCCTCTTTGAAGCTTTTTACAACTCCAGTATGTCACATTTGCCCTCTCTGTGCCTATACAACTCCGTTTTATCTATTCAAGTATTTACTGAGCACATATTTGCGAGGCACAGTCCTTTGTTCTAGGGATACAGGGTTGAAAAGGGTCACATAATCTAGCATTATCACGTTGCTATGAAATTCAGTGGTTATGTGTCCTTTACACCCCACCCTCTCTCTCGATTACGTGAGTAATTTACCATTTTGAAGGCAGGAATGGAGTCGCCTTGGTATTTGTATACCTAGGTCCTGAACTGGAATCTGGATGACACATGTTGGTCTTCTTCATTCCTCCTCCTTATACTGCCACCACCTCCTGAATGTAGCAATTGCCCTCAGCCCAGATGCTGACCTCATATTGCGCTTTCTGATGTGGCAAATGGACGTTTTCAAGTTACAGTCTTATGCAAGTGGAAAGGCCAGTCTTCCGGCCCCCTTAATCTCAATGAGTCAATGTTTGCTGCAGCCATGAGTCTAGCCACGAGTATTTGTTTGTCTTTGACTGGTCATTTGAGCCACAGACTATTCTTGGCATTCGTTTGCATTCCGAACTATGATTCTGTTTCTCCCGGTGTAGTTTGGAAGCCCCAATTTAATAATTTCCGACCTAATTGCAAGGATACATTCCACTGTATTCGATTCAAGAACTCCTTCCGCCGCTCTCTTCCCTTAAGCTTATAAGCTTCCGACGCGGAGGGTACCTCACTCGCTCTACAGGTAGCAAGACCAGTCGTACGTTAGGAATACGGGTAAATCTTCATCCTTTGCCTCCTGAAGGGGGTGATGGTGAGAATCAGTTATCACTTTAAGAGTGTGCTAAAACAGCAGCCGCAGAGTATCGCGAGAACTGTAACAACCAGAGACATCTCGCGATGTTTGGACTGGCAAAGGGTGGCTATTTTGGAGTCCACCCGCCGGCTTCTTACCCCGGCGGCGTCTGACAACCTGCTGCCGGGACCAAAGCTGGCCCCACGGGTGTCTGGCCTGTGGGCGGCCGGACCGACACGATGTGGCGGCTCCGCTGCAAGGCCAAGGATGGCACCCATGTTTTGCAGGGGTTGTCCAGCCGGACCCGGATGCGGGAACTCCAGGGCCAAATTGCCGCCATCACCGGGATCGCCCCCGGCTGTCAGCGAATCCTCGTAGGATACCCGCCCGAGTGCCTGGACCTCAGCAACGGGGATACCATTCTGGGGGATTTGCCCATTCAGTCAGGTAAGGGAATCGAGGCTAGGCCAAGGCTAGTCCTGAGAGGTCGGAGAGAGGCATAAGGGAGAACAAACGGTCAGGGCGAGGTGGTGTGGGTCAGCTGGGGGCTTGGAGGAACAGGATAGGAAAGATGAAAGAACAGAGAACTCTGACGGAGACCAGGGCAAGTGTCTAGCAGGGAGGGCCCAGCCTCTGTGAGAAGCCCAAAGCCTTGGACTAACCTTTCCTCAATCTGCTTTCTGGTCTCTCTTGAAAACGTCTCATTCATTTTGTTTCCCTCTGCGTCCGCAAAAGTATTTTAAAAATGGGACCTATTTTCTTTGTCCTGATGGCTCTTTTCCCCTCTATCACTGAAATAAGACATCCGGTCTGAAGGATGTAGGATACTTTTTTGCTTTCCTGGTTCATTTTTGCTATCACCTTCATATATACTTACTTTGACAGTTGTATTCATTTTAGAGTTTGCTCTGACACACCCAGTAAAGGCCCTTTCAAGTTCTAGACAACAGCAGTTATTTCTGTGCAGTATTAAAACTTGAACAGCAATAATGGTAATTAAAAGCTTTCCCTTGTTGTATCAAGGATCCTGTAAACACTGAACAGGGTAGGTATGTAAGTTTCATAAGGAGAGGCCCCCCTAGTGGCCGAGTCTGCGACAAACACCTTTTGGAAGTGTTTTTAAACTGCAGAGAGCAAGCTTAAGAAAATTTTGTTCTTGAAATGTATCTTTTTAAGCAAGTATGAAGGTGTATAATTCAGGCCCCTTTACTAAATGAGGTGCAGCCTAGAGTGTTTTGCTCTTTGTTCCACTTGCGTCTTTATGAAGATACAGTGAACAGAAAGTGTTACTGGTCACATGTTTGCAAAGGTGTATTCTCCCTAGTAACCCCAGCTTATACTTTAACTCCTTCTGTTTGTAATTTACAGACTTGGTTAGTGAACACCCAATTTCATCTATACTTTCTCTTCAGTTCTGGATTTGTTTTCTTTTTGACAGGCGACATGCTGATTGTTGAAGAAGACCAAACCAGGCCCAAAATGTCACCTGCACTTACAAAACATGGTGCTCCTAGTTACATCAGGGAAACTTTGCCTGTGCTTACCAGAGCGGTGGTCCCAGCAGACAACTCTTGCCTCTTTACCAGTGTGTACTATGTTGTTGAAGGAGGAGTCTTGAATCCCGCTTGTGCCCCTGAGATGAGACACCTCATAGCACAAATTGTAGCAAGCAATCCAGACTTCTATAACAAGGCAATACTGGGAAAAACAAATCAAGAGTACTGTGACTGGATCAAAAGGGATGATACTTGGGGTGGAGCTATTGAGATATCCATTTTGTCTAAGTTTTATCAATGCGAAATATGTGTGGTGGATACACAGACAGTACGAATTGATCGTTTTGGGGAAGATGCAGGATATACCAAAAGGGTCCTGCTTATTTATGATGGCATCCACTATGATCCGCTTCAGCGTGTCTTCCCCAACCCAGACACCCCTCCTCTGACCATTTTCTCCTCTAATGATGATATTGTTCTTGTGCAAGCACTGGAATTAGCAGATGAAGCTAGAAGCAAGAGACAGTTTACAGATGTAAACCGCTTCACCCTGAGATGCATGGT